CTTGGTAGCTATGCTAACAGGCTCTATGGAGAAAGCTGATAATGGCGAAAAAATATAAATATAACGGTGAGACGGCTGCTGCCGACAGGCCGGTCTTGTGTCTTGGCCACCTCTGGCCGCCGCCTGCTGGGGCCGCTGCTGGCCGCCGGGAGTGGCCTGCGGTGCTGTGCAATCTGGGATTTGGTGTCTTTCATCCACATGAGCCAAAAAGGCACTAACTTCAAAATTAATTTCACATTTCTACTACATATGTGACCCAATGTCAATACAGATTCAGGTTTCAACGGGTGAACTATCCCTTTAACTATACTTCATTTAGCTTTGATTCTTCTTATTTGTGTTGCTTGCGTCATTTAGTGTGTACATTATTTCCTAAAAAATAAAAAATAAAAAATAAAAAAAATTTCCTAAACATCCTGTCAAAATCAATCTAGTTCAAGATGATCTGACTTGGGAAAAAATATATTAAAACTATATTTAGTAAAGAAGAATACTTTCAAATGTAATGTGAGTGAAATCCTTCAGATCTTAAGAGCATTTCATCTCTGGTAGTGTGTGTGTGTGTGTGTGTGGGGGGGGGGGGGCGCAATGATGTGCGCTGATTAAAAATGAAAAAGGAATATGAATAATTTCTGCTGATCTAATATTTTCATGTATATCTGTCTGTGTGGAATTCTATATTTAAAACTGGGGCCTGAAAGAGTCTGCAGCACCTCTGATACTCCTGCTACCACCGAGCTATCTGTTTGTGTTATCGGTTCAGATCAGCAGTTGTCAACGTTAACTCAGGTGTCATTTGTCATTTTATGGGCTTTTATGAGTGTTGTGGGTCAAAGAAAGGAAGAATTTTTACAATTGAATGTGATAGCAACACTCATCAATCATCTTACTTTTCATTTATATCCTATTGAATACCATAAGATCACAAGAAAATTAGGTTTTGTTGGATGTAGAAAGGTATTTTTTGCCTATAAAGTAGCAATTGTAGCTGATGTTTATCCTCTTAACTCTTTCCATGATGTTAACTTTGATGTTCATGATTGAAGGTCAGTAACAAAGTCGAAGAGGTTACAAAGTCGCGAGCTGCTCATTTTAACATCCTGAGGCAAAATTGACCTCTTTATTGTCTCATATTACAAAAAAAAATACAACTAGTACTTGTAAAAAACAAGAATTTGAGCACAAAATGCTAGAAGAGTCGACAGAGAGCTAACTTTAAGAACAAACACATAAAGTTGTTGAATACTTTCAGAGCGTAATCTGCAGTAATGAATAGGGGATTTATTTTGGAAGTTCCTGTAACCCACCTTTCTGTTTGGGGGCTGATATTTTTATTTCACTGGCTGTAATCTTGTATCCAGTCAGTGCTTTGAGTCATTTGAGGCTGTCTATTTTCAGCCTCACAGTGTCTGATCTGACCGAGTGTAAAAGAGGAGTATAAATGACGTCCTGTCCTCGTGCCAGACTCTCTGAGTGAGTCCACTGTGGTAGCTGGCATCGCCAAGGAAACAAGTGCGTGATCGAGCTGCTGATGCCCAATTCTGTCAAAGTGGGCAGTGGGCACCCTGCTGGGCTGCCTTAAATAGAAAACACAACTGATGCACCCACCTGCTTCAATATAGTTGGGTAAAAATGGGTCAAATATACTAAACTCACTAAACTCCAGAGTCTCAGCTGAAGTGCATCTACCCTTGAATTTCAAAAATGCCTTTATAACGTCAGTGGATCAACATTGTCCGGGCTGGGAGGGGGATAAAGACACACCGTCTCACTTCTTCATGCCGTTACCATAAGCCACAACATCATACAGTCCATGCAACACACATACACATAAACTGAAGAGCAAGTTTAGCTAGGTCATGTAGCCATATGCTACGACTTAAAAAGCAGTGATGACACTTTTGTTACAAAACTGTTATTTTGAGTCGAGGACTTCTCTCCTCCTGTAAGCCTCAACCCTGACAGTCCAGAGTCCAGAGCTGTATCACTTTGACAGTCTGAACCATTAGCACAGGCAGCAATGCTCAGACAGCCGATGAAGAGGATAGGGAGGGGCAGGGGAGGATGTGGGACGTCCCTTAATGGTAGACGATGCCCCCTGGAGGATTTGAATGTTATGACTTTAACATTTTTAAACAGATAGCCTCGTTTTTTTTACACTTATCAGTTATAATCAATCCTTGCAATTCTCTCAATCCACTGTACTCCCCACAGTTTGCTAAGTCCGATAATTTAGTCTTTATAAGGCTTGTTCATGAAAACTGCCACAACAAGTGTCACCAGCCTCCAGATCAGCCAATAGAAAAATGATATTGCAGTAGCCGGGTTTCAGCCTGTAGAGGGCAGTGGTTATGCAAAGTCTAACACGATAGAATTTAAATACATTGTACTCAAATCTCAAGATTTGTACTTGAATTGATCCACAACACCACTTAATACCCACATACTTAGGTTTTTAGGATTGAGTTACTTTTTAAATAAAGGGAGGTGTATCCCCCACAGGTGGCTAATTTCCCTGTCGGCCATCTAAGTTATGTTCTCCAGCTTGTCAATGCCGTTTTCAGGTTTTGGGTCACACAGGCCTTTAAGCATCTGGATGGGGACTGCTGTGTTATCCTGGGTCAGTCTCACACACACTACATCGTCTCCTCAAACATACACCAAACATCTGGACACACAACATGAAAGAGTTGCATACCGCTCACCATCTGCCATAAAAAATATCTCAGCAAAACTCTCCTGTTTCTTACAATGCATCTTTTTTTTACTCCTGAGCAGATTTTAGATGCACACTGCCTAATTATGAAAAGTTCCAACTAGGGCTCGACCGATAGGGGAATCAGATGCCGATACTTCAGTCGATATATTTCTTACATCTGTGTCCGATCTTACATGTCCGACATAAATAGATTTAGATAAACTAATGTTTATTGTGTTGAGTCCTCAAATGCAGTAATCAAACACTTGTTAAAAAGATATATAATATAGACAAGATGTTCACTCAAGTGTAAAGTAACCTCTTGACACTCTGGAGAGTGATAATGCTTGTTGTAATCCATATAGCGCCCTCTGCTGGTCAAAGAGAACTGTTAGTGTAATACAATGAAACTCAAATGAAATGCTTTTTGACTGGTGAATAAATCTAGTAATATGATTGCGGATGTGGATTGGCTCTAGTTCCAACACATTGGACTTGACAGCAAAACACTAGTAGAAAAGTATTCACTAAAAAGGAATTTTATAAAATAACATTTGTGTTTCCATGAACTGTATTTTTTACTGAAAAGAAAGAAGGCTTGTTTTTGTCGGGGATTTGTATAGAGTTTGGAGATCTTTTTATTCTTACAGTTTCAAGGTCAGGAAACTATTTGAATATGAGCAAAATCCTCTCAAAAGTCTGGATTTTAAACTTTGAATGATACTCATATTTAAATTTAAAACCATCCAGTTGTTATGTTTTTATGATGATGTCAGATGTGGACCAGCTCGGCTCGAGTAACTGACAAAGGCGTTAAATAGTCCTGATCAAAACAGACAGTCAAACTAACGTGAACAGCTGGTAAACTATTATACTGCCAGTATAAATGAGTCTCACTGGATACATTGACTTTATTTTTCTGATTACATTCAGTGTCAGGCAGTTCTAGTTTCCTTGAGGTATCCTTAAAGTGCTTAGAACCCTATGAGCCCTATGAACCGTACATTGTGAGATCTGAAGTTGATAGTCTCATGTTGAAATGAACAGATCTGCAGTTGGACACTAGCTTTTGGTTTGCCTGATCTTGAACATGATTTGATGTCAGGCAGCAGAGCAGAGAGCCGTTGGGCTTGGCTGAGGAGAGTAAACATGTCTGAGAGAAGGAACACAATGCCATCTGCCTATTGACACAAGAAGGGAGCGATCACATGATACATTTGATAATACTAGATTGTGAGAGTTGTAAACAGGCTTTTTGATTATATAAAGTTCTATTGAAGTTGAAAATGTGCAGATTTGGATATATATTTAATTTGCTGTTCTGTTAAGAGACATTAGAAACTGTTGAATCAACAAACTTCAGGCAGTAGATCAGTCTGTAGGGAATTGGGTTGGGAACCGGAGGTTGCCGGTTTTGCACATTGAAAGGAAATATATATATATTTTTTTTTAAAACCTTTTTGTCATATTTTTTGATCCAAATCATTCTGGGTTTCATTTTATGGAAAGTAATGTTGTTTGACTTTGATGTTTGAAAAGGTTAGCATGAATCAAAACAACTTTATGAAAGCATAAACTAACTGAATAAAAGCAGCAACTCGTGCTTTGTGGGAAGTCAAATAAATACATTTTGTCAATGAAGTCTTGTCACTTTGAAAAGAGAAATATTAACAGCTGTTTTTGGCTAATGTAACCATCACACATTTACTTAATGGTCTACCTTTTCAGCAATATGTTCCATAATTATGTCTGACACTTTAAATATCAGAGGCATTGGGTGCTGGTACCCTAGTGGTTAGTGTGTGCACCCCATGTACGGAGGCTATAGTCAACTCCGACCTGTGGCTCTTTTCTTTTTTTCTCTCTCTCTCTCTCTCTCTCCCTGATTTCTGACTGTCTACTACTATCCTATCTCTAAAATAAAGGCACAAAAACCTCAAAAAAAAAAAAAAAAAAAATCAGAGGCAGAAACGAGCTTACTCAGAAGTGGAAGTTCATTATTGGGCGTATTTGCCCCAAAAGGCTTCATGTGACAGCTTCTAACTGAGTATTTGTCTCAAAATGTTTTGTTGCAGCCATTATTGCACAGCTACAGTAATCTACTGGAGCAATTCTACTTGTATCTTTAAGTCATGTAGACCTCAAAATATATAAACAAATGGCACAGGTTTGAAAAAACAAATACAGTTTTTTCCGTCTGAATTTTCATAATTCAGCCCCTTAGTAAACACTTTGTTCTTTGCTTTCTGTGACATTGACAGTGATGTTGATCGAGTGATATTTTCTTCTTTTTTTTAACTAGGCCACAATTGGAATCGACTTCCTGTCGAAAACCATGTACTTGGAAGATCGAACGGTAAGAACCTGCAGTTACTGCTGTACAATGTCATGACAGAGATGTTAGATGTTTGTAATGTGTTCGCAGTGTTAAAACTTCCCCCCGTTCATCACTACAGTAATGCATGCACTGACATCGGTGACTAATGCTGCATGGCATCTCTTTCCCTTGTGATATGTAGATGAGGACAGTCAAACCTGCCTGCATGACTGTTTATCTCAGAGATCATTCACAGAGCAGTGTGACCTTGAAATCAGCGTCAGGAGTCCACATATAAATAATGCCTCAGTGTGAATATGTACTGTGTATTCTTACTATACGTGTATAAGTGTGTGTGTGTGTGTGTGTGTGTGTGTGTGTGTGTGTGTGTGTGTGTGTGTGTGTGTGTGTGTGTGTGTGTGTGTGTGTGTGTGTGTGTGTGTGTGTGTGTGTGTGTGTGTGTGTGTCTGTGTCTCTGTGTCTGTGTGTGTGTGTGTGTGTGTCTCTGTCTCTGTGTCTGTGTGTGTGTGTGTGTGTGTGTGTGTGTGTGTGTGTGTAGGGAGCTGAATGTTCGCAGGCTCTCTGATTATCTGAATAATCTCAGCCTCCTCAGCTTTCTCTCTCTGAACCACAGGTGAGGTTGCAGCTCTGGGACACAGCGGGACAAGAGCGCTTCAGGAGCCTCATCCCCAGTTATATACGCGACTCCACTGTGGCCGTGGTGGTCTACGACATTACAAGTCAGTACCGCTCACTTAATCTAACAATTTAAATAATCACACTAAACTGCTGAGTCTTTATTGTCTGACAAATTCAATCAAATGTGCAACACAGATTATCTTTTAACACACTAACATTGTCTATAACATCGATGCATCAAGTAGATAGCAGGAGTGTTCATCCTAAATGTGTGTTCAGGCCAAAAGCTTTATGACTTATATAAAGAAGCTCCAAAGACATTAATGAAACCTGAAGACATGTGAAACTGCACTAGGTGATCAAACCAGGAACTTTTTCTTGAGACTTTTCTCACAAACAAGAGTTTCAGCTCTTCAATACTCCTAATGTCCTGGCATTAAATCAGAAATGGTCAAACCAAACCCCCAATCACAAAGTCTTTGTGTTTGTCTTTTGCACAGGACTAGCAAAGAAGGAATTTAGTCTTTTAAAAAATGATGATGTAGTTATTCCAAAATCATTTCAATCTCTTCACTGCGTACGTATCACAGCAAAAACATATTTGTTTTGTTTCATACCCCTGTACTGTGGTACAGCAGATTTCATCAGACACTACCTCTATATATATATATATATATATATATATATATATATTGTTAGGTGGGGGTTGTTTCTATAGTAGATGAACAATGATGAAATCGTGAAACAGGCTGTGGATCATCTTAGATTTATTCAGCCATGGTCAGACAACATTGAAACACAACACACATGGCTGACAAAGTGTAGACTATCACTGACCCATGCTGACCAAGATCTCACAATCATTGACAATCATTGGCAAAGTGTCAGAATGGCACTGTCTTCATCTTCACAGTGTTGATTATATTCTGCTAGGAGGTATAGCCCACAAATTCCTGGCTGCTTCGGTTCATCTCTAAAAGGCTAGAAAGAAGACATCACCTTGACTCGTAAATATCAGACATATACATTTCTTCCGTCTCATGGTCACATTTTCACAACAGACACTTGGCTCCAATCCAAATATAACTCTTACACATATGTATTACAGCTTCACAAACCTAAAAGAAGAATTACTCTGATATAGTTTACACAATTCAAATATATATCCACAAAATTATCAAGATGAATGAATTCATGAAAATACATACTAACAGACAGTATATCAAAGCAAAACGGATTAAATTGAAGTTTATACCTCTTGACTTATGATTCGTTGGGTACAGTGAAACGTCCACTAAAAGAAGCACAGATGGACAGGTGCTAAACAGCTGAAACAGAGTGTGGGTAGTTGATGTCCCACCAGAACATCCTGGTACTGACCCGACCTAACAGGTCATCAGACTGGGCACACAGTTCAACCAAAAGGTGTGGAAACAACAGGCAGCAAGGAGCAGTGTGCACCTTTTGGAGGATATTATGAACCCAGATAAGGCAGAGTTTGATCTTCCAACATAAGTACAAGGGTGAACACTCTGAAATCCAACAGTTTAAGGCTAACACTGTTTCACTATTTTGGTCTGAACATGTAGTGATGAATATTCCTCATTATCCATATGAGAAAGTGACATCCTGTCAGTAGGTTCTGTTTAATCTATAAATGACCAAGACATCGACTGTAACACTGCTGCTGAGGAAGTGAACTTTATTCTTGAGTTGAGATCAAATATGGGATAAACTCCCCCAGAACCATTTTTTTTCTGTTTTTTCTCTACCCTGAAAGAGATGAGAGATCTGTGTCGTTAAACTCCAAATCCAAGAATAAAATACGATAAGTCTGCAAGAAATCGCCGTGGACATAACAAGGTCGAAGGGATTTCACAGGAGCTTTATCATGTTACAGAGCTGGAGGTGTGCATTATAATGGATTTATTATGTAATTTTAATGTTCTATACAGTGCAGAGGCATCTAATATCTTAAGGTTTGTTTAATAAGGTTCACTGGATGGGCTTTTCTCTTCATTATTTCTTCTTGCGACTGTAATTATCCCTACAATATTAAACCTGGACCCAAGTACCCAAGACCTGAACTGGGACTCGTACAGCTTTGAGTCGACTTTTTTTTAAATAGCCAATCCTGTCTGGGTTAGCTCCCATTCTGTAACAGCAGTCTGTTCATCTTGATAGTGTAGTACAGAGTGGATCCAAATAAAGCTGTGACAGTAAAGTAGAAAAGGTAAAAAGTTTGAGGTTGTGAAACAAGGGCGTCTATACAGGGGTCTGGACACGCCTCTGGCAGTGAAACAAATGAAAGATGAAAACCCATTAATAAAGTTTTGTATTTGATATAAAACAAAATCTCTGGTGCTTTAGGGACGCTGGTTTAGCTCAGTTCATAGAGCATCCAACTTGATAAAAAATGTTTACACAAGAAACCAGTTGATTTTTTTAATTAACAGCTATCTACTTACCATTAAATAAACAGAACCAAGTGAACAAAGTGCAGAGTCTGTGTAGTCAGACGTATGCATATCAGGTATACCGTATATATGTTTTTATGTAAAGTCTCTGAAGCAGCTTCCTGCAAAACGTTTGATCCATTTTACATCATCAGATCACACATTATGTCTGCCAGCTGTTAGACAAACAGAAAGTGTGTCAGTGTGTGTGTAAGTCCAGTTAAATATGTTGATGGTTCTGTTTCCTGCTATAACAGCAGGAGAGGAGTTACTGTCATTTTACAAACAGCATCTTTACGAGTCTCCACTTTGCTCCTCCTCTTTCTCAACAGATGTGAATTCATTCCAGCAGACCTCGAAATGGATCGAGGATGTGAGAACAGAGAGGGGAAGCGATGTCATCATTATGCTCGTCGGCAATAAAACAGACCTGGCAGATAAAAGGTGAGTAGGTACTCCTGAACCCGCCTCCTGACTTCAGTGCATGCAGCTCATTTGTCTAGCATTGTTGACATTATGATGCAAGGTGTGTGTCTGTTCATTAGCCAATAGGAACAATCAGTTATTAGAACACAACATCTGGAGAACAAAACATAACGTAAACATCAGGCTGACTCCACAGGCTCCCCTGCAGAGCAGATGATTTGAGTAGCTGTCTGAATAAATCTATGTATCAATGAGACAGAACTAATGATCTTCAGCCTCCCTCATACTTTACCCTATGGATTAAATATCACTAAACACCTGAGTCGTATGTGACAGCTTAAGGAAATGCATGTTTCCAACAATATATATTCAATATCTAAATTAATACAGGACCTTGTTATGTTGAGGGTTGTTATAGTTATTATAGTGGAACATTCGCCAGCTCAGCAGCTCCTCACCTTTGAAATGAGAAAATGATGGCGTGCAACGTTAAATTACTCAGAGGTTTGGCCCTGGTGACACTCGAGCAATCATGAAGAAGGGTGTGCACAAGGGAAGGATTTTTTCATTTCTACATATAGGTATGTATAGAGATGGAAATACAGATGAAAATGCTAATGTTACAGAATGCTAATGTTACAGAAAGAGCTGACCAGGAGAAAGAAAATGATGTTAAAGTGAAATAGTTAAGAAACTGGGTAAAAATGTATTGAGGCAGAAATGTATTAAAGTGAAACGATGAAGGAGAATTGAGCCTTAAAATGGATGATTAATTAGTGTTTGAATTTACTAATGATGTATACTGCACTTAAAATAATACATTTAAGGACACTTTATATTAATGTATATAGCACTTTTTTATATAGCATTTCATGCACAAAGGCAACTCCATGTGCTTTACACAGGGAAGATTTGGTTGATCAAATACAAGGCTAAAATATTAAAATACAGACAAAATAGGAGAACAGAAAATCATACATAAGGAGAAAAATATAACATTAAATGTGTTAAGTTATTATTTAAAAAAAAAATGTTTCATACAACAACAACAACAGCCTGACAGATTCCTTAGACTTCTTGTTTGTCATGTGATCATCTTTTTGTGACTTTATTTAAGTAGTTTAGAAAAATTACCACTTCTCCTTATCTGTTATTCCCCGAGGTACGGAACATTTTTAGTCTCTTGAGGTGCATTTTCTCGTTGACATAAGAGACCCATCCAAAATAGACCGCACAGTAGAGTAGTTACTAAAATTCAGATAAGAAAACATCACTTTATACAGACCATTGAGTTCACATGTGCAGCTGCTGCTTGAGCACTGAACCCAGACTGAAAATATGGTCTGTTTATATATCATATGTTTCTGCCCCTTTATGAGGCTTACAAAATATAAAGAAGGAAAGAACCTAACACTCTGAATTAAGATGGGGGTCATGTTAAACACAAGTGGAAATCTCTATTCTTTAATAACTAAGCCTAAAACTGCAGCTTCAGGCATCCACTTGAGGCTAAAAACATACTAAGCTGCGTATGAAAATTACAGATTTTAAGAAAAAATAAACATGTTAACAGGCGAAAAACATTTTGTACTCTTTTACTAATTTATTTCTCTGTAAAAAATGTACAGGAGTTGGAATTTCTTCTTTTTTTTGCATTCATTTTGGGGATTTTTGGGCCTTTATAGTAGAGATAGGACATTTACTACAGTCCGAAATCAGTGAGAAAGAAAGTTGGTCATGAAATGCAGGAAAGGAACCTAGGCCCATCGCTTAGAGAACTGTAGCCTCTGTACCTCGCGTACTAACCACTACGCTGCCTGCGCCCCAGGGGTTTGAATTTTGTATAACTCATTCTTTTTGATTATATTAAGGCTTAGTTATGCATAGTTAGGGGTAATTAGGGACAGCTCAGTGGACTCACAGGCTAGTGCATTAAAGCTGTTTGCCAGGAGGTTTAAGGCCCGCCTCAGCTCCACCTCTGTGCCTGGGTCAAGATTTCTAGATTGATAGCATTTCCAATGTGGCAACCGCCATCGTTGTGTTTCATAGCATCTCTGCAGAAGCAGATAAATGCATTTCTAAAACAAACTTCAGCCACATTCATCAACTTTACTGATTCACTATCATATTCAAGTTTGTTACATATGGAGTTTTAGTTTAGCTTCTGAGGTAAAGTCAGACGTATCCTACAGCCTTTGGTTCCCTATATACAGTAAATTAAGACTACTCATTAGCTGTGTAGAAGGTTTCTGAGGTGCAGTATGGAGGCTGACAGACAAGTGGTTCATAAATCTATGGTTAAGTACTGACAGTCCTATGGGACATCTTTTATCTCGGTTTGGACAGCTGCTGTGGTTTCTGCTCTGTTTCTTTGTGGAACAGAACTTCTTTCAGTTTCCTGAAACAGATTTCCATATACCTTTTGACTGATCTCTGTGGGCTTTTTAAAAACTGCAGGCTGATAGTGAAGTACATGACGGTGGTTTAAAAGGATTATAGATCTCCTGAACATTAAGTCAGACTTTGGCTGTAAAATATGAAGCCATACTGAGCAGGTAATATGAAATTAGTGTGTAGCCATGCTTAAATTACGCACACACGCTCTACATTTACATTGCCATGGTCAGCATTTTTTGCACATGCAGTAACGGAGACGTTCACAGCATGAACATGTCCAGCATACGCTTTGAGGTGAAAAAAGAAATTCCCATCGGTAAACTGGTGTCTTCAGTGTCTAAGTGACTGAAGGGAAGCAGAAAAACTGCGAGGGTTGGCACTTTCCAGATTGTATCTCTGTGGATCTGTCAATGAAGGTTCATTGCTGCCATAACAACAGGCCACAGGCATGAGCTGGTTTTAGAGAAATAAACAAAGGGGTATCCCATAATGTTATTACAATGCAGTAATAGTGACATCAAATTAGACTCACCCAATGATTAAAACCAGTATCTTAAAGTTCAGCCTTCATCTTGTGTTAGTTCTACCACTACATCTATTTTGTAAGCAGAGCCAAGTTAAGAACTTAAGATTCTGGGTGAAATTAACCTGAAATGTTCAGCTTGGAAGAAGACAATTAGCTAACAACTACTCAACCTTTTCCCTTTAATTCACCAACAATTTATCTTAAGTACGATTTAGCTGCTTCTTAATGGGTTCTGGAAGTTAAAGCTAAAGTAAATGTTCCTTGGTAAAGAAATAAAACCGATTAGGGCATCAACATCACCTCAGCCTCTTCTCCTAATTTGCCTCTTCTTAGAGGTAAATTAGCCTCAGAGCTGAGTGGATGACACGAACAGGATTTTGCCTAAATGAGCGCAGTTTTTCCTCACTCCAGTTTCTTACAAAGTCTTGAGCAATCATCCTAAATCTTCAAAATGGTTTTACATCTTCTGCCTTTCTTTCCTTTATTGCGAAGGAAAGTGAGGGTAACCATGTGTGACACTCATCATGCAAACGCAGTCGCACGGGCCAGAGAATGTTTCATTCATCCGAGAGATGATAAATGTTGCTGTCACTATGGTACTGCGATGCTCTGCCAGAGGCTTTAAATAGCAGCAGTCATATTCAACTGATGACAATATATATGTTTTATTCTACATGTGAAAATAAAGAAAAATACATTGTGTGAAATCGAATAAGTCGTGGAGTTTCTGTTTGATTAAAGACTTGGCTGATGATCTGACAGCAATGTGGCTGACTTGAAAAATGAGATGAAAATCATCTGACATCTTAATATAAGGAAGAGATAAAAGCCTGGCAGGGAGACAGTGTTCTTGTGTGACCGGCTAAATGTGATATTAATGAGGATGTTCATTTAGGCAGGAGAAAATGAACATCCAGAAGAAACAGTGGATTCATAAGTGTCTTTTATTACTACTTATCATTTAAAAAAAGACACTTTCCAGGTTACTGTGGTAGCGACTTTTCCATCACAAAGAGCCACATGTTAAAGCATACCTTCAACATAGCTTCTACTGTAAATTAGAGCAAATGTACCAAATGACACAATGCTGTATTTAGGAAGATTTAAAACTTGTGATCGAGACCATAAAGTCGTTAGGAGAGAGGTTACTGAGGTGGTAAATCATGTGAGAAGTAGAGTCTATTTCAGGTGGTCTTTTAAAGGCTTAATATGCGTTTTTTGATCCAGCAGATGTCGCCCTTGATCACCAGCATGAACCCAAAACAACTTACGCTGCATTGCTGTGTTAGCATGCTAATGCTAGCGATCTTTATTATGCTCGTATCTTCACACTGCATGTAAATTTACCTGAAATGATCTAGAAACGCTTACGTGACGTTCAATTAAGCAGTGAGTACAGTATGTTATTCTTCTTTTCTCTATTCCCTCAATTAAACAACTTTTATACGTGAGGGGAGGAGTCGGCTGGCCGTCCTGGCGATGTAAACAAACTGAAGATAGGACTCTGAAAACTCTGAAAACATCACAGACAGTGGGACTTGGTTGTTACACCATTGTAGACACTCATGACTCACAGAGTTATTTTCAGAGGATATACTTCTATTACATTGAAGTGTGAAAAATCGCATATTAAGCCTTTAAACACTGGTCTTCTTTTTACATCCAGTTCAGTCGCCCCCAGCTGGCAATAAGAAAGATTGCACATTTAAATGCATTTACAATGTTGCTATCTAGCTTCATTTCATTTAGGCAATGCACTGGGTGTATACAAGCACAAGTTTTTTTTTTTTAAATATAATTTTATCATTGTCATCATCAACGTCACCAACATCATCATTGTCATGAATATCTTATTCAACATAAACATGTGTCTACCTGCTCAGGGACTTCAGGTAGAGTCTAGCTTATCAACTTAATCTGGTACAATTGCATCTTCTCTCATTTATGGAGATTAATGTATGTTTTGTTCATGATCCTCGATAAACTAAACAATAAACTGAACTAAACCACACATTCAATAACATCATCATCATCATTATCATCATTAATGTCAGTAGCATATTAGGCTGGGCAATAAGGACCAAACTCAGGGTGAAGAGGGACAGAAAGCGAGAGGAGAAATATGGAAGCTCCATGAAAGAAACCTATAAAGTTATTTTAATGCAACATGAACTTTATTGATATAAGCAATATTGTCCTACTCTATATCTTGTTTGAAAATGTATTGTTGAATGTTAAAAACTGGTATATCTCCCAGCCTCATTAGCATCAGTATCAGTAAGTGTGTAGATGAAAGAGCTGGGTCTTTTTGAGCTTGTTCTTAAAACTCCACTTCTTCAATCACCGGAATGCTTTTTTATCTTTGTGGCATTTTATTTGTTTAAAAACAGCGAAAAAAAAATGGAGCACTCTGCAGTAAATAAAGTTTCAGGGGCTCGACTGCAACAAGACTTAAAAAGAGATAAAGTCATCACACTAAATGTCCTTTAAGTTTCCTTTATCTGGATAAGAGCAGCGTACAAAACAAAAACGGACGCGTTTCAGCACTAGGCCTTCATCAGCCTTGATCACGCAGGACATTTAGTGTGCCCACTTTTCTCTCATTTTATTCATGACCTTTAAAAATGGTGGTCAAGGGTCAATGATGCAATGCATTTACATTGTCCTTAACCATATCTGACACATTAACCCTGCCTCTGACATCACTTGAGATGAAGCAGAGATTGTATTTTTTAGATTTTGTGTGTTTTGATCATCGGCTGCTCAGGAGGAGAGACCTCTGTGAACTCTGTGAACTCTGTGTTTGCTGGTTTGTTCATTCATCCATGCTGGAGCTTTCACTGACGCTCAGTACTGAGGTGAGGTAAAGGATGGACAGTTTAGAAGTCCCAAGTGTCCTGCGTAAGGGAAATGTAGTGTGCATCTAACACTAAGCAGCATGGGCTAAGTGCAGCCTGACGGGATGTACGCTGACAAAAAGTAGCTCTGGGACTTTTTTAACTGTAAAGTTTAAGGTTGTGTGTTTATTGAGGATCCAGTTTAGCTATTCTCTCCTTTAGTTCAACGTTGCTATTACAATGTGTTAAAGTTAATTTACTCTAATTTCATGCAACTAGCCTCAATGATTTAAAGACTCCACAGGGGCTTGAGGTTATACCAGATCAGAGTATCAGTTCGATAAAGCCAGAGCGCTATACGTTTATAAAGACTTTGGGTATACTGATGCTACTGTTCCTGACTGTATTGCTGTCCAAACCAGACGGTATTGTATATTGAGAGCTGATGTCACATCTGAGGACAGAGCTGCTCTGTCACCCTGAAATGCCCGATAGCGTGCATGAATGTTTTTAAGGTGCCACATATTGCTCATATATTATGCAATTTTCTCGCTGACTGCCAGTCTGATGACGAAGACGCCTCGGTTATGTTTAAGTTGGAACTCAGACGCCTGCATCCAGAAATAGCCACAGCAGCTCTGGTGCAACTCTTGTCAGGTGGTGCTATTATGTAAATACATTTCCAGTGCAGTGTTTTCTGTTCTCTCTGCAGAAAGGCTGAATTTCTCTTTCTTCTGTGCTGTGATAAAATGAAGGTTTATGGAAGGAGAAGAGGATCATGTTGCTGTGATGTCGCTCTGTGTTTGATGCGTTGCACTACAGGATAACCTGTCAACGTGAGGTTGTTGCACCACTGAGAGGTTAGAAAGTAAAGCAGTGGTATTTTGGAGTCAGGCTGAGATTCCCTTTGTGTTGAGAGGAACAAAGAAGTCAGAGTGGTTACGTCATGGTTTTCCCCAGCAGACCCAGTAGCAGGTTGATTTAAAGATTTTAACGAACCTGCTGGCTTAGGGAGCTGTAAACTCAGCAGGACTGCACTGATCTCTGTGTTTGTGTTAATGGACACCTGACACAGTCTCAGTTTCACAGCAGAGACACACAACCACTGCCAGAGTCATTAAACTGTACTGCAAATGGACTGTTATTAATTTCCTGCAGGACAACGTAATTAATCACTCTCAGTCATTAGATAATTAAGTCCGGTCTCTATCCTCACTAGTGTAGAATAACAGGAGCTGCAAATCACAGTCACTGCGTCTTTGTCGAGTGTTATTATGAGAAAATAAACCTCTGCTTTGTCTTCACAGTTTGTTAACATTTAACATAAACAGGTCATTATCTACTGCATGAACCTGCCGTGTTAAAATGACGATTCCCTTCTGTCAACAGGCAAATCACAATTGAGGAAGGGGAGCAGAGGGCCAAAGAGCTGAGCGTCATGTTCATAGAGACCAGCGCCAAGACAGGTTACAACGTCAAACAGGTGAGTTCAGATACAAAAAGATTGTAAGGGTCTAATGAGGGACTTCAGGCACATTGTGCTCTGGATGAATCAGTGAAATAATTTCAAGTGCATTATCCAATGTGTATTTCTAGAAGAAGATTAAATGTATGCTGAAATAGATTTTTTGTGAAGTACTGCAGTGCTGGTCTGAGGCTCTGGCCCTAAAATCTTTTTCTTATTATTGTAGAAATAATATTTTTTTTGACCCCAACAAATTCCAATCATAAATATTTCTGCCTTTTTGCAATTAAAACAGAAATTGTGATGCAAAAACTATCATTCCCAATAACCATTAATCATACAGCATTTTAAACATAATAACAATCCATTTCTTTCATTAATGTGCAGCTCTTATTATGTGCTATTTGATCAGTTCAATAACTGTCCTCTCAAGCTTTGGGAAATGATTGAATTTTCTATAAAGGCAGAATATGAGCAGCTTAAATGCACCAATATGACGTCTAAATTCATTGCTTTTCTGTAAAATACTTTTTTCCCCTTAATGTTGGGTAACATGGGATACTTTATTTTGGAAACAAGCCACTGGGAATTTTCATAACCATGCAATGAGTTGAGTTAGCTCTCTTGTTTCTTAATACCCTGATGCTAACACAGGTAAGCAGAGGGGAGGTGTCGTTTGTTTGCAATTTTTACGTCTATTAATCAGTAGCATTGTTGAATTAGTAATAAGTAGAAATGTGTGTCTTTCAGATCCAAAGAAAGTGATGCCTGACTAACAGTAGAGATTTGTCTCTGAGCAGATGTTTGTTTAGGACAACAATGACTGTCTGTGAGCTTAATAAGCAGAGAGATTAAGGGAAGCTGTATCGTGATAATCAGTGGATGGTGTTCCTGGCAGACGTTTCTCTCAGCTCAGAGAACAACAGACAGTGGAGGCATTTATTCACCTTACTTTAAGACGGTTTATTTACAGCAAAATGCCAGGAACCAACACAGTGGTGCCAAACAAAGGTCACAGTACTGCCTCCAAAGGCCGCAGTGTTCACACTGTTTGGCTGTGTCATCACTTCTGATTGAAGAGCTTGTGTCAGCAAATTGAAGCTTTCAGCCTTAAAATGTCCTGATCTTTCAAGAAAACTAGTCAGCTGTGTGCTCACTTTTTAACTTTAAAAGATATGCCAAATTAGGGCCCCAGTTGGCCTTGCGGTTAGGTGGTGCCCCGTAATGTATGGAGGACATTCAGTGTACCTCCAAGCAGGCAACCTGGGTCCAAGTCCAACCTGTGGCTCCTGTCCTGCATGTCATTCCCGACTCTCTCTCTTTCATTTCCTACTCTGTCTGTCAAATATAGACATGAACATTTTAAATAAATAAATCTATTTTAATTCCATCGAGTTATTTAATTTTGTATTTGGCCCAAACTAAATTATTTTTCTCTTCCAGATGTTCTGTTATGTAAAGTAAACATCTTTACTAGATATTTTTTACTTAATTGAATTTAACTAAAAGCCCAAAGAGACTGAGGCTTTACAAGAACAGCTTCAAAATGACTTTGATTCTGATGGTCACTGTTTTGAGGGTTTCGTATGTTTATAGATAGATTTTTTTATGATCAAAAATATAATTTAAATGTAAAACTTCTTTGCACAGCTGATCCTTTAACAGGACTGTACATTGCCCATATGAAGTACCCAAAAATACAAAAGGTGTCACAGTTACTGATGTTCCTTCACTGGGCTGAAGTGAACAGCCCACACTTGTTGGGTCACAGTAAGTTATCTGACAGTCAGTTCTTTGAGCTTCATCGACTTTCATCTACCAATGTAGACAATGTTTTATGGACTTAATGGTGTAAAATAAGCCTGCAGGTTCATCTCTAAGTCCAATGAAAAGTAATCAATGCAACATATTATTAACACATATTAAAAGGCAAAGTCAGTCAAGTCACACTGTGTCAGACTTTGAAATGTTTGCTGAAATGTTAAATAGTTTATCGATGCTTTACAAACAAAACACAAACGGGGTCTGATAATTATCTAGATAATCTGTGGTATAGATTTTCACTTGAAATGAAATGATGAACTTTATATTAAAAGGCTTATTGTCAGATAATGTAGACGTGTGTTCATGTTGTGTGTCTTTTGTCTCATCAAAGCGCCCTGGTTTCTTTCTTTCAGCTGTTTCGCCGCGTGGCAGCTGCTCTTCCAGGAATGGAAAGTATGCAAGAAACAAGCAAAGAAGGGAGTATCCTTTGACCCATTTACATGAAATGATGAAAAACACCCTGGTTTTAAAATACAGAGTTACAGGTAACAATTTCTCATTTTAACGTCAAGGTGATAGCATTGCTTCTTGCATGCCTCTAAATGAAAGGCGCTCCTGATATCAGTGGACTGGCATCTCTTTAAATGGGTGTCAGCTACCTGTTCAATTAACGCAACACACCAAATGTTTCACAGCCCCCAGGTGTCTAATAATACAGGAAGGGACGTCTGGTCGGTCAGGCAGTAGGCGTCCACAGCTTTGTCTGTGGTTGGTGTGCAGGTTTGCTCATTTATCAGTGACAGGAGTCTCTTCTGTGTTACTGCTGCACACAAGTCTGATAACAGGCTCCTCCAATCTGCTGCTGTCAACAGAGCATGTCACACCTCCACCTGTGGAGGATCTGTCAGCGGCTGCAGATTTTACTGTTTCACTCTCCGAAAAAACTGTGAGACACTCTCCATAACCGTGTGATTATTTTCAGTATTAAATATACTTATTGAAGGATGAGATATTTTTCAGTAAGTATATTTAATACTGCAAAGAATCAGAACGTCACACGGTTATGGAGAGCGTCTCACAGTTTTTACTCATGCCTTACAAACAAACATAGTGCAGAATTTATTTGTTTTGACTTCATTTGGAGTGATTCTGTGAAATAACTCAAAACACAGAGACACAAGTGTTTGTATCTTGTGTCAAAGGAGATAAATACAGCAGCTGAGGCAGATTGAAGCTGTAATTTCCATCAGTATGTCAGAGAGCCCTCAGGCTGTCTTTGCTACCGACACTCTACTGCAATGATTTCCACATCTTTAACCACATCTGACACGGGAAACAATAATGCAGCCTACACTTCACTCTGACTTATCTAGAGTATTGTTGTATTCTTCACTTAAAGAGGCTTTCAACACTTTTGAAAATGCACTCGACTCTGATTGGATCCTCACTTCTCTCTCTCTCTTATAGAAAGCCTTTTGTGTTGATTTGGACCCTACAGCTCAGGATTCACTTTAATCAGAGTATATACTAATGTAGTTCATCTGAGACTATGTCCATCCAATCTGTGTCTGTAAAGCTTTCTTCTTGTGTTCTTAGTTTTTATGAATTTGTATTTAAGGGGAAATATATTTTAAAACAAATCACAACACATTAAATAAATTATGAAGAAAATGTAACTTCACAGACAAATCACGATTAAAGCATCGTCTCACAAACACTGCTGAAATCACAGCACCAGAGACACAAAGACTACAGAATAAAAACACAAAGAAAGAAAATCATCTAAATATTGATGATTCACCCATCTCTGAATTAAGTCATGATCCACATTTTATCCATGTTATAACATATGTGGCTAGACAAGCGCTAACCCACCAACACATCCTGACTCAGTAAGATTATACTAACATAGCCCCCTGCAGGCTGCAAGCTGTTTTTAGTATAAAGGCAGTATAAAGTCCTCGTATGTGGACCCCAGGCCCTTGTAGAGCAAAATTTAATATTGTGGTCTAGACAACCCAAAATGTGATGTCCACATATGTGGACGCCAGGTCGTAGGAGGTTAAATGGTCTGCCTCCCTCTTAAACACTCAATATACAAATAGGTTCATTATAGACAGGATATGATATTTGTTCTGTTTCTGCCTTTAATTCAGGCAAGACAAAAGTCTTTATAGAGCTATTAATAAATATAATAGTTATATATTTTATTAACTTTACATTTGAAGCTAATCTCAAAGTGCTATTATCTGGAATAAGCTTTCACAATAATTTCAGGAAAACTGCTCCTGAAATCTTCCTGATCTGGTTGTTCACACATGCACCTCACCGCGGGAGACTATCCCTGTCGGATGGAAGATAGTAGCAGACTCGTGCATGATACAGTCTATGGATGTTCACATCGCAAGGAATAAAAGTCATCACCCTCTCCCACTGGGTCGAGGTGAATTCTCCTGATTAACTTAACTTCAGCCCCCATAATGAGGGGGCTGTAAACTAGCTGCCATGGACTAAAGTAAGTTAAACTGCAGCAAGAATTTAGGCTTGTCATTTTGGCGTTGAAAAATGGAGAGCGGTTAGAACGCAGAAAGGTTTCAACACCAGAGCAGAGCTGGCTAAACACTGAAGCTTCAGTGACATGGCAACCTTTCGTGCACATTGACTCTAGTGAGGAGGGGGCGCGTAGGACAGCTCACTCCAATGTTGTGAATTGTGACTGCAGTACCAGTTTTAAACACTGGGTGTCAGTGTAACATATTGCTCCTTTAAACATAACCCATCCTTTATGTTCTGGTCTAACTTAAACAATCTGTACACACAGTATGATCCAGCAGCTGAAACAAGAAGTGTACGAATCACCTAATACTTCTAATACTTACTCTCATTTCTCTGAGAGTCTGCTTACATCTCAGAGTCTAGAGAAGTCTTATTCAAAAGATTAAAACTGAGCCTTTAACTTTGTATCTGTTCTCTTCTCGCATCAGCAGTCCTTCATCTCCTCCTAACACACAAAGCAAAGCGCCATCTCTATGGTAACTGCAGGTGAATTGTTAAACACTCTTTGTTTTTAGCCATGTGTATACGGCACTACTGTAAGTCCTTCAGTTTAAAGTCGTCTCACAGGATCTGTATGATGAAGCCTGCCGTATTTATCGACCACGACATAAACATAACTCAGCGGCTGACCTTGGTGTAGAGAAGGAATGCCTACATTTGTCTCCCTCTGATTATAACACACTCATCATTCACCACGAGACATCCAGTGTTTGCAAACTGCTCAGCCTCAGCAATAAACTCAGCGACCTAACAGCCCTCTGAAGTGTTCACATCCCCCTTCTACTTTTTACTTCAGCCATTTTCATGTTTATAAAGCATCACTCACATTTAGCCAATTACCTTTATCTCTCTTCCTGTTATTTTCATTTCTCCTCTAATGAGTTGAATGGATGGTGGGGGGGGGGGGGGTGGCTGGTGGCTGTGTGAGGTGGAGGTGGAGGTGCGGTGATGGATGGCAGGTGATGACAGTTTGTCAGCAGCTCTGTGCCTCTGCTGACATTGTCACTTAATGGAGCTGCTCCTCTCTTGTTATTGCTTTGTGAATAGTATTGATTTAGCTGTGAGCAGGGGCAGATGTAGGCTAGTCTGGGATGCGTACATGCAAGTAATAAAGCCTGAATGTGTCTTTATTGTCACCTCCACTTGCTTTTAAAGATTTTTATATTTCACAAACACACAACGCTCTTAAACATCAACAAAAGCAGGTTAACTCAGAGGCATAAGGTGAATGATGTTTTTCATGTTCGAGGTTGTATTTCATTTAAGGAATGGCTGTCATACATTATTTTATAAATGCCCAATACTGTGTCAGCACAGAGAAATGTCTCACTGCATAAAATGTTTAAAACTGAATTTTAAAAACAAAAGCAAGTACAAAAAATCCCCCAAAACTAATAACGTATGCATCAGTGTTTAAAAATCAAATTTCATAAAAGAAAAGTGAAAAAATATAGAATATGTATGAATTAATAATATGCAAGTGTTATGTATTTGAATTTATGCATCCATCAAACCACACAATAATGTTGCAAAGGATTTTTATATATAACAAACTTATGATACACGTACCACCATATAGGGCGGCTATGGGCAAGACTCTTAACCCCAAGTTGCTCCCGCCGCTTCTTCAGCCACCTATGAATGTGTATGAATGGATTACTTACTTCTGACGGTCTCTTTACATAGCAGACTCTGCTGTGTGAGTGTGGAGGTGTGACCTGCAGTGTAAAAATGCTTTGAGTAGTCAGAAGACTAGAAAAGCTTTACAAGCTCAAGTCCATTTACCATTTACCTTCACAACAGTGTATATGTATATCTATATATGCATAAATAAACACAAAGAATGTAAAGGATTATGAGACTAAAAAAAGATGAGTGACACATATGGATTATAAATAATCAATACAAATAACCTTAAAGGAAAAGTGAGTAAGTTAACATACACTAAAGAATATGGTTTGTTTGACAGGTAAAATGAAGGCAGTAGTAAAAGTATATGAATCTTTGACTTGTATCCACCTGGAGAATAGACGTGTTTGAAACATATTCTGTTCCTCTCACACGACTTTAACAAGTCAACAAGGGGACCTTAGTGTGTTTAACATCCCATTTGTTCTGGAGTGTAGAATAAGTCATTTGGTAAATCATTTGAATTGTGCTCATGTACAGCGATAGACAAAATTAAAAAAGAACCTGCAGCAAATGAGTTTCAACCTGCAGAACTATATTTGACTCCAAACATTATGTGACCAAATCATAAAAATAAACAATCAGAGTTCAGCAGTGAGAGTATTCCTTTGAGAGATTGGGCAGAGACGGAGGCTTTTTAAAGTTTTTAATGGTAAAGGTGGACATCCCCATCGCCGTTGACTCGGTGCTCTCTTTAATTGCTGGTTTTAAATTGGGGGCAGCCATGTCACACTGATTTATGGTGGATGCCAGTGCCTACGGGGTGACGTCTTCTGCTCTTGTTTCTGAGAACCTTTTGGGGAGTCACAGGTTATTATCACCTCTGCAGGTCTGCAGTGAGGGAAAAAAGGAAGAGGCTGCTTGACCCAGATCAAGAGCGAGGGTCATCTGTGTTAATAAGAGAGCTTCAGAGAGCAAAATCACTGCAGACTCATTTTGGCCTGAAAGAGAAAGTTCTCTGATTTTATTTAAAATAAGTTTTATGAAGTACCAACAGCACCTTTCCATGCAGAGCTTCAATCTTAGATTACAACATCCTTCTTTAAAGTGATCTTATTGCAATGATGGTAAAGTAGTCAATGTTAAACTTGATAGAAGAAAATTACAGCAGTGTTCAGTATTTATCGTAGAATACGGTTTATTAAAGGGAAAACAACATAAAATCCCCTAAACATGCTCAGAGAAATGCACAGTCTGTTAAGATGCCCTAAAACACAAACGCTTCAGTTAGTTAGACTCATGTATGTTACAGCTCTGCTTTTTCAGTCCAGTTGAATCCTTTTAAGATGGTTTTTAGAGATGGTTCCAATCAATGCCTCTGTAAATCAAATGTTTAGGTGTAATGTGAAAGACTGTGCTGTATAGTTCTGAACATTATTTTCCTCGTATTACCCTGATGTTCTCCCGTTCATGTGTGGGTTTCCTCCAGGTTCTCTCACTCATTAGGTTCATTTGTAACTCTTAATTGCCCGTAGATGTGAATGTAGTGAATGTTAATGAATGGTTGCTGGCCTCTAACAGCCCTGTGATTGACTGTTCACCTCACCAGGGTCTATCCCGGCAGGGGATATCCTCTGACCCATTGACATCAGGGTTCACCTGTAACAGGTGTCACAACTCTTTGTTCAAGAATGCAACAAACTGTGTCTACTTTTCCACAGACTCACACAAGCACATGCATGTAGGTATCTTACACATTCAGGACTGAGGCAGCTCATTTGGTTTGGAAATGTTGGCTGCTGAGATAAGCCTTTAGCCCCAAGACGAGAGCAAATCCATACAGGAACACATGAGTAAATGTTTAAAGACCACCCTTTAAATGTCAGCATGAGCTGATGGCAGACCATAAAATATGAAAACACACAATAAAGGCTGCAGGATCGGAGGCTGCTTTAACACTGCAATATGTAGGCCACTGCATCCGTAGGCCTGCTCTTTGTGTATGCAAAATGTTCAACTAAAAAATTCATACCAAGGGAAATTGTGCTGCTGATGTGCTCACCTCATGTCCTGCATGGACCCATTAACATGCACTGGGTCATGATGCACCTCGTCTTCTTAAAAACACAGGAGGTCACTGCTAAACACCAAACACACTCTGGAGGAACGACTGGGAATAACACCTTATCTGAATTGTGCAAAATCATTGTGACTAACAGCAGCAGCTCATTAGCACTCCATTGTACAGCAGCTTTAATTGTAGCACAGCAGAGCCAGCAGCTTTAGCCAGCATCCATTCTCAGTTTATTACCACACTAACAATGGAGAGGAGGCTTTCCTGTGGAGCTAGAATTAGTTTGTAGAGAAGGATTGTTGTATGGTACTTAGTTCCACTAACTAATCTCCAACCATGTTTAAGAACTGTTATACTTTTGTTTTTACAGAATACACGTCAGGAAACTTGTCAAACAAGTTGTGTAAACAAGCTTTAGTAAATTATAACACCTTTTGCTGACTTTTGAGTGTATTTTTGTTAGAACAGTTTTTGGCTTGTCTTAAATTTAACTAAAATTGTAGAAATGGTACCATCTAGTGGTTGTGAATTAGTACTACAGGTTTCTGTTAAAAACGCAGTCTTGGCACTCCCTCTGTAAATTGATCTTTGAAAAGATCATATTCTCAGTGAAATTCTTCAAGGCTATAGTTTTTTTTCCAAAATAAATCTTCAATTTTAAACTTAACCCTAACTAGCCTCGCGTCAAGTTTTAACCCAAATCAGAAACACTTAATTATTCCCAGCTGGGAAATTTGGGCATTCCTGTTTCTCTTATACATATTTTAAACATAAAGAAAACAGGAAGTAAATAGAAGTAAAAAAAAAATGTGAAATTTGGATTTTCCCTTTTATTTTTTAATTCAGTATGTTGTAAGATGTATTTGGGTTTTCTACATTATATCAGCTTATTTGTGACTGTATGATTTACATACACCTTGTAGTTTTGTTTGGTTGTATTTTGGGTCAGTCTAGTACAGAACTACAGAGATGCCTGATCCCGGAGTGACCTGACATACTTTGCCACAGTTTGCAATCAGCCTTTTACAAATGATGTGCCACCTGAGGATTCAAACTTTCTATTCTCCAAAAGCACAACAAAGTTAATCAAAGTGCATTAAAAACAGTAACTGTTAAATATTACAAAAAACATTGTGAAAATGATCCAGTTGTTTGATTGGAGAGTCACAGCTTAACCCTGGATCCCTGTACATCAGACAGCTGCAGAGGATATCCAGCTCTGTTTTCAAAGATGACTCCCACTCTACATGTTGGATTTCAGCTCCTCCAACCTGGACGTTGGTACAAATGTTTCATCCTGTAAAACTTAACGATAAAAGAACAGCTTTGTCCCAGCAGCTATCAGTGAGATGTCTTTCCTTTATCTTACCAATGGCTCATTTCTATCTTGTTTTTACTTATCATGTTTTACTGATTGGTGCTATACTCTTATTTATATCTTGTTTTTATTTGTCTTCTTCTTAGGATGGGTTACTGTATTTGTTTTCTCTTGAGTGTTGATCACTGTTGTCACTTCATCATGTGTTGTTCTGTGCTGTCGTTTGTGTGTAAAAGGAGGCCTGACTCAAAAGTCACCTTACCTTAAATCAAACAAATATCCACACCCTTAAAGTGACGGCAAACTTTCCAGGATCACACTCCTGACCTAGACAGTGACTTCTTATAGTATTTACCTGAGCTGTAGTCAGCGACACCCACAGTGGATACAAAACACTACAAAAACATGGCAGTATAAGAAACGCCTATTTTGGCTCTACCAGGGATGTTTCATGACTTCAAAACAAAAATTATTTAACATTTAAGTATTTTTTCTGTATTCTTTCATATCCCAGACTAGAAGATACATATTTATAGCTTTGAGTCCCAGTACAAAATGAATAACACGTACATGAGAACCCATCACTGTGGTTTGATTTCCCTCTAAAAGAATGACTATCATCAGATGATTCCCTTCAGTTGAATGTCCCTGAATAAAAGAACACAAAGTGTCTCCAAAGCTTTCTTAACGCTCTCCTCCAGTGATCGACATCAAGCTGGACAAACCGCAGGAGCCGCAGACGACTGAAGGTGGCTGTTCCTGTTAATACATCTCTGAACATCCTCATTTACACCACCTGCTTGTTATGTTGCTTCTTATTGGTTAACCTGCAGTTGACTTTTGCACGTTGAGAATCTGGCCTCCTCACCTGACTGACTACTGGTCATCTGTTGGAACTAGCAATATGTGAATTTGCTTCTGAAGTAGTGTAGCCTACTTTGTTAATGAAACTGCCAAAAAGTCCAACAACTTGCAAAAAAAAAAAAAAAAAGAGAAAGAAAAAGATGTTAAAAAAAGATGCAAAAGTTGTGAATGTGGATGGAATTTTTTAAGTCGAAAAGGAAGTTTCCCCCGTTTCTTTTTTGTATATTTTTGTATATTCAGGGAAATCTCTCTGGAAAGGTTGTTTTTTTAAGAGATGCAGAAAACTGAGCTCTGTTCGAGGGCTTGATGAGAACGGATTGTTTTAGACACATTTTTATGGATCCTGACTCATGACAGGATCAACTGCGGCCCTCCTAACGTTATTACCCAGATGTCACTTCTTCCTAACCCCTTACATTTAATCATGTAAAGGATTATACTGAAACAGTTTTTATCTGTAACCCAGCGTTTCCATTTAAAGGGCCTCCTGTCAACGTGCGATCCATAATTTTGTGTTCTAGTTGCACAGGAACAAGTGAACAGTAACATCTTGAGTATCTAATGCATGCCTAGTTTTTCAGCATAGGTACTGTCTACCAGTGTACACAAATATGTAAAAATGGTAACGTAACACCAGTGACTTAATGCACTCTGATAATGACTAGTCCATGTCCTTATGTTTCTGAAAACTGTTGAACTGGATTTGTATACTTGACTTCAGAGTATCTTTTTGTCGTGCGTGTGTGTAAATGTGTGCTTTCTGTATAGGCAACATTAGAATGCAGCTGTATTGAGGGCCACTGCCGAGTCGTCTTATTATTGCCACATCACCACACATTTTAGGTCACACATAGTCTGCAGGAGGTACAAGGCTTTGTTCAGTCTGCCAGCCCAGTGTTTCTGTCAAACCCAGATTGTTCCAGGTGGATTTTAGAAAGTCTGGACATGATATGCGACCATTGCAACGCACATTGAGTGATTCATAATGCAATTTTAGTCAGATGTTTACAAATGAATCCCAGTCATGGCACTGGTTGCTCCAATTAGATTTTAAAGTATCAGTTCCAATGTGACACATCAAAGATGTTAAATCCAGGATGATGGCGGTGCATCATGGTGCTAAACCACTGCTTGACAACTGAATGGATGGAAAATATACATTCATTCATTCCCTTTTGTTCAGCAGCTGATACGCTGCACAAAGCATCCTGCTGATGTGACTAGAGGGCCTCAAAGAATTCAAGAGAGCAAATCAAGCTGCAACATACATGGCTTTATTAACAGCTATGTATGAATCCTTGATGATACAATGCCAGACTAATGTTGTGTGTTAGTTGAAAATCTAAGATTTGTAAAACAAAAGTTGGCAAATGTCTTAATTACAATAATGTCTTTCATTCAAATGTATTTAAAGCCCGTGACGAGCTTTAGCTTGTTCTGAATCAGACTAAAATCAATACTGATGTCTCTTTATGACCTTCAAAAGTCTACACCGCCATCAGCAACAAGATTGATTTTTTTATATACCCTAATTTCAATGTTTTTAACAGCTGGCATGGAGGTCAGATTTCAGATGAGATGATTCACAGCTGCATTTAGTCAAACATTTACAATTGAATGTTTAAAAAAAGAGATGTACAGAGTTGTCCACAAGGGGGCGCCAGACAGAAAGTTCCTCACAGGAGCTTTAAACTCTAAAGCTGTTGAATTCACAGTCATTGGATCTTAATTCAGAACGGGAGTATTATCTCACTCATTCTGTCAAAGTGATCTGAGACAAAATCCCCCTTTTGGGAAGCTGGTAGGATTCACAAAATCTCCTCCACCGCGTCAGTGACGATGAAGTCTGAGCACAAAATCCTGACCTGTTAATGACAGTGTGGAGCGTTTGTCTAACATCTGATTTGATAAACAAATGCGGTTTGGCTGCAGTGTGAACAAAACCTCAGACTCCACACTCACAACATTATGACATCTGTTGTTTTATTGTGTGGTATCTCGTATAGTTGTGATCGTGGTAGTCTGCACATTCGCTGTACGTGAGCAGTGGAGATCCATAACTCTTGCCTTGTTGTCACAGAGGAGCGTGTGGCGTTCTCTGCGTGGTGATCTGTAGACTTTAAAGCCGGTCCTGTGATCAAACAGACGTCTAACATTGTAAAAACAGTGCTTTGTTTCATTTCTGACAGAAGACTAATTTGCACATGTAGACCTTTCAGGTGAATATGAAGTTCAGAAAACGCTTCATTGTAAATGTACAGTCACTGAATGGAAAAGTTGTCTGGTTGTCATAGAAACTGTCACGTAAGGTGTCCCCACTGAGATGAGCTTTTCTTTGCTGCTTGTGTTTAAACTGACTACTGACGTTGGCATTATGCAGTGTTGTTTGATTTGTATTATTCTGGTTATGTTAGAGCCAGCTATCATGACGTGCTGGTGGTGAAGAGGCGAGAACACTACTCTGAGTTGTCTCTGAAGTGACGTCTTACTGCACTTTTTAAGAACATGTTTTAGAGTTAGAGAGAAAATGTCAATCTAAAAAAAAAAAAACTGAAAAAAAGAAAAGAAAAGAAAAGAAACGTCTTCAGCTCCAGGACTTTTGGAGTTCTGTCATATTAGAGTAGATCTGTTTGTTGATGAAGTGTTCACACATGTCCAAAAAAAGGGGAGCACTCGTGTTAAAATAGTGAACATTTCTAACCCACATAACGAGCCAAATGATGAAAAAACTAAGAGCTGGAGAAAACATTACAGCAGATCTTGACTGTCTGGGACACACTTTTCTAGAGGTTTTGGGAATAATAAAAGTGATAGTCAGGAAGGAATTTAAATGTAAAATCCCTAAAAATGAACAGAGAAATGATTACACATGAACCCTGTTTTATTTATGATCTCAAACAGGAATGTACTGCTCGCCTTACCGAGCACTCAGCCTCATAAGGAGAGATCTTTTTGAGAAATGAATCACTGGAGGTTTATTGTTCAACGAGGATAAATGATTAACTAGTTACTAAAGACGTTCCTTCCCCCCTTTATTTTAAATAAAAAAAACACCTCACCCAGTTTAACATTCCCCCTTAATGGACCAAGCAATGCAACAAATGTGTGCATGTGGAGGGTCTGCATTAGAAGATAGGGGTGGGGGGTCACAGCTCTAAGCAGCAGACCTGATCAGTCCAGAGCTGGCTCTTCATTCACACTGTACAGAGATCTAGCATGTCTCTCCAAATGATTAATAAAGATGTCTTATTACCAAAGTCATGGCGGGTTCTGTCTTCATTTAACTCTTCATAAACAACGTATCGTTTGTTATGTTGTCTCTTTTATTTATTTTTTATTAAGGTCACTCCTGTGAGGAGTCTTTGGCTGGTTATGATGAAACAGTCTGGTTTTACACTGATGAACTCTAAATGACCTACAAAAGTAAACAAGAACATCTGCAATAATATGGATTATTTCTCTATTGTAATTTGAAATACCTGTAAACACTTTAACAGGGTAGTTGTGTCAGACGAGACATCCTTCAGCAGGTTAAAGAAACGGCCTTTGTTTACATCTTACACAAACATTAATCACAATGAGTCATACATTTCACCCTGATAGTGTCTTCTTTTAAAGGAAACATTATTCACACACGTGCAGAACAACATTCAAAACAACTCAAAATTGACAAAAACTAAAGTAGCAAAAACAGTCAAAAGTTTGTTCAACGTGAAGTATGAAGCTTTCAATCTCAGAACGAGTACAGAAGAGACTGAACTAAAAGCTAATAATAATGACGTTAGAACCATAGGATCACCAGAGAGACAGATCATGATTGATTAAGAGAAGGGATCCCTAGAACTGTTTTTTTTAAACGTATAAAAAAGGACAAAGTCTGAGATGACACTGATTGATGATTTAAAACTATAATTCAACCTGTGAGTGATACACTGTAAAAACAAAAAGTCATAATAACATAACATTTTAAGTTAGTTTTACTTCAAGTCTATGAAAATGTTGTGTTAACTCCATATTATACGTTTATGTCACCTCAAATAATTGAAAGTTTTCCAACTTACCGGTCGTTTTTTTTTTTTTTTTACAGTGCAGCTCCAGTCTGTACTTTAAATGTACATGATAGACCTCCCTCAACAATCTCTTCCATATTTTTCTTTTAATACACACATATTTATACACACATATTCATATATTTTAGAAAAGAAACATTTTGGGTCCAGAAAAAGAAAGATTGGGATAGCTTGTTAAATTTATCATTTTATTTATGCATTTATATCTCTCTACTTTTGACATTGGGTAGATACTTTTGTTAGAGTTGTTTAAAAGTAGATTAGGAGGGGGCGCCGGTAGCCAAGTGGTTAGTTTGTGCTCACCATGTACAGTGGGCGACCCAGGTTCAAATCCAGCCTGTGGCTCCTTTTCTGCATGTCTCTCTCTCTCTCTCCCTGATTTCCAACTCTATCCACTGTCCTATGTTTCAAATAAAGGCATAAAAAGCCCCAAAATAGATATTTTACAAAAAGTAGACAAGGAGTTGGTGAAGTTCTTTGTTCAGTTTGCTTTGGTTTAAATATGGCCGTCCATTATGTTGTTCAGGTTTTGTATTATTATAAATGTATATATTCCTCAAAGTTGGGTTTATGTTTGAAGCAAGGATATAAATCGATCAAAACAAATAAGCTCCACTTCCTGTTAATGATTCATTCCTTGTAATGGACTCCTTGCTGTACATTATTCTTTGCCTCGGATCAGTTTTGAGCCTCATCTTGGTTTTGGTCTTATTCAATACTGGATATTTAAATGAAACATGAAACCTTTGTTAGTCATATCCCTCCCTGTGTACCTGGTCATGACAGCACCCTGGATTCTTATCACTTGTGTGCATCTGAGTTTTTATTTCCCATCATCTCATTGACTACCAACAATCTTCAAACTAATCTGAGTAGCTCTACGAAAGGTGAATTTTGTATTCTACTGAATTCACTACATTTGGGAGATGACAGGTGTTCAGGTGTTGTTGATGAAACCTAGGATTAGCTTATCCGTCAGTTTAGTAGTTATACCGTCATGAAGCAAGATCTGTGTCAACGTGAAGTATTAGTACATGTTGTGGCGTGCATGGTTTCTAGTTTGACTCAACAACAAACGTCTCAGTTTCTATCAATGACCGTTTGAAAGTGTTGGTTTCTGTCAGTGGAATAACCTGCTGTGCAGTCAGGACAGGAGGAACCTAAAAGTTTGAGAAAAGTTCATTAAATATGGAGGTAAGAACGATGCACATGATGCAAACTCTTCTAAAACGTATTGAATGCTAATAAATACAAAAAAAAACGAATTTCCCCTCGCGGGATCAATAAAGTATACATTATATTATTATTTGGATTACCCACAACACAGAGCCTTATGACAAGAGGCAGACACGGTATAGAATATGGAATACATCTTTATTGTCCATCAGAGGGGGAACTTTGCCTTCAGATACATAAAACAGCATAAAAACATTCATAATGCTGACAACATAGCAGCCAGGTTCACACATTAAATACAGTTCATATCATGGTTCAGATCTCATCAGTCATGTTGTAAGATGAAGATGTTACTGCACTTGTGATAAATGGCTTCTTAAATACACTTTAAGTTGCCAGGGGAACGCTATATACAGTATCTTAAATGAGACTGTTGAAAGACACGTTCTTTACTTTTCATGCTTATATCTGTATCCTTTTGAAGGCAATGAAACACCAGAGTCAGCTAATAAGGCAAGACAAAGCAGCTGCCTAGAGAGACCCATAGATATTTTCATAAATATTAGCCTGTATTTTGACATTAAAAATCATAAAACTGTATGATTAAAGTGGCCTGTTAGCTGAGTGGTATCAATCTATGCTGCATAACAACAACACTGCTGGTACAGCTGGCAGACAGCGGCCTTTGTTGCAGGATTTTTAAGCAGCTGTCTCCATTTCCTGTTTCCTGCCTGAATCTTCATTTGTGAACTGTCAAATAAAGAACAGAACAGCCAAAAAAAGAGATCTTTTAAAAACCACATACTGATCTTAAATTACCAGTTAGAGAATTAAGCATGCTGACATCATGTCTGTCTGCCTCTGAGAGTTGTTATAATGTTTTCTTCATGCACACTGTAACTGTTTTGTTATTGTCTATTATTCAAGTCTTATCCTGTTGCGTCCACTTCCTCAGAGTTAAGCTCTGGATTTGTTGTTTTGCAAAAAATACTTAAGCACCGCAGCTATTTGGGTTTTATCTGGGTCACTCAAAAACACTCGCTGACTTGGATACACGTACTTATGAAGGAATGTACTATTGCTCGGTGTTATGAGCACGACTGTGGAAACTGTCTGCTTGCACCATGTGTTGGTGGCAGACTCCCTTCTAGAAATCCTCCCATGAAATATGTTTGTGTTGCACCTGTTCTGATATCAAGACTCTTTAATCAGTCTGAACAGATCACCCTGCTGCAGCTCAGTGTATTTACTCTTAACTATTGTAAAGGTTAAAGGTGTACGTAGCTATGTGTTTATGTTTATATATGTGGCTACACTAAACATCTTTCATTACATTTCAGGCAGAACATTTGACTGATTAGTCAAGTACATGAGCCTGACAGCTCTGCTTACTTTTTATATTATTGTTTTTCACTCAACATGTCTATTGTCTTTTCAATATTTAATCAGCTGTGATAAGAGCAAACATAGATGAACTTTGGCTTTTAGATATTTCCTTTTAAAGCAATTCCAATAAAAGTCATCCAAAATTAAAACTGGTTGAAAAAAATGTATCTTTCCACTAAAAGCTAATTTTTATACCTCCACCAAGATTACATCTGTAAGGGTCTTGCCTTTAAATGTGAGTGTAACACGGTGCACTCTGTTGTATAGAATCAGGGGAACTTGAATGGAGTGTTTACTGATACTTTTAGTGGTTGTAATATTAAAAATGTAAGTTTTCTATCTTTTATTGTATCAGTAATGGCCTGAAGTGTTCTTACACTGATGCTAACCTGCACTGGGAGATAAGGTTATTCAAATGTCCAATACGAAGCGTCTTTTAAACAATACCATCCCTGTTCTTTTAATGATTGATAGAAATGAAAAGTATTGAAGCTTTAAATACTTAAGATCTTTAGACATTTTTTAACTAAAAAGTGCCACAATCAAAAGAGAGAGAGGACTGTCTAAATGTACAAATACTTTGTACTCTACTCTACTTTGTACTAATACTTTGAAACGTTTGGGTACAGAAACCCTGCCTTTGTATTTGTGCACTTTAGACAGCGTGCAGAAGTTTGCCTACATTTTTTGGTTATAAAAAACAACTACTGATCCAGTATTGGGTGGATTGGATTTTCGTTCAATGATATTGAAATAAGTATTTCTACTAGTATCGTGTCAAAGTTTAAAAATCCTGACAACCCTCACTGGGAGTTCCTCCATGTTTAGTTCCACATCAATCCCAGTGATCGACACCACCAGCTCCAGCTCTCCACTGGGAGCCAGTAAACACATTAGGAAACAGAAACTAGTGCTCTGCCACTTTCATAATCCTGTAGTGTTTGTTTGTTCTCTGCAGGACGTCTTTCCTCCTGCTGTGGTCCAGACTGCAGCTGTGACAAGCGGCCGACTCTCATGATGCCAGCTCATTTAGAATTTGGATGCGTCTCCTTGTTTGGCAACAGGGAGGAGATGATGTCAGTCACTGTGATGGTACTTAACCGTGGGAACACAAATTATGCTGGGAGGCAAACTGACACATTAAACTGTGTGTGTACCAGGCGTACAGTAAAAACACAACTAGCTGGCTGCAAAACCTGCATGACAACTAACGGATTTCTTTCTCCTGACGATGACCTTAATATGACTGAGACGCCAAACGTGATCATTCTTACAGTGACCTTCAACTGGGATTAAATCCACATATGCTCACCCTCTTTTCCCCCCAGAGTTGTATATTTTTGAATTGATTCGTGAACATAAGGTGAGACAAAAGAATACACATATTAGCATGAAAAGTAAAGCTTCACTTTTTCTTCAAACGTGGAAAACTTGCCAGATGCTCACTGAATGGATTTTATAATCCGCTTTCATGGTCCAGTGAGTCTTTTGTGGCGGGTTTTTTGTTGCATATACAGCCCACAAAAAGCAATTTTCACATTCAGAAATCCTCTTATTTTCAGTTACTTTAATTCTTTATGTGTCATAAATGATGTATGCAGTAAAGTAGAAAACGTGTCTCAGCTTTGAGCTCATGATTCATTCAGATGTCCGTCGCCTCCCACAGCTCCACGCTACAATCAGCATTAAAGAGTAAACAAAAACACAGACACAGATGCTTTCTTTCAAAAATACTTTAATTAAATACTTTAACTAGCTTTTATAAATTAAGAAGGAAAAAAAAGGTCAATGTTCATCTCTGGCTAAAAAGGGAACATCCTCAGGAGGCCATCTGTTATGAGGGGGGTCTTTGGGTGTGAGTCCCACCGGGACAGCTGAACCAAATCCCAGGGCACCAGCTGGGAGAATTAAGCCCAGAATAAATAATGGGGGAGACGGGGCACCTTTGGCTGAGGACTAAACAATGTCCTGACAGGAACACAAATGGATTCTCGCTGCTAATGGCCTCAACTTTCCCTCCACTGACAACGTTGAGTCTTCGAACAAATAACGTCCTGAGTGGAGCTATCGATCTGCCTCAATCTTTAAACGGTCTCTTCAGTTGGAAGCCTGCGCCACGACTTCATTTCCCTTGAAGAAAACACAAACAAAAACATAAGTCCACATTTTCACTTATATCCTCCTTGTCACAGCGTTTTAACAAATAATTTAAAAAATACTCAGAACTTACACATTCCCACCAGGAACGATCCTCTCTTGGTGCTGCTTTGTCAAACTGAACTTTTTGAAGAATGCCGGCAGTTTCATGAGTTTTGTTCTGGATGACCTGGAGGAAACACTGAGAGAGAAAAAGGCTCTTCGTCAGTCAGTCTGAATTTTTACTCTTAAACAACATGTGGCTCTGTAGAGCTGGGGCGCTAATGAGAAGCTTTGTGGACATACACTGGTTAACGTCTACGTGTGAATGGGGAGGTATGGCTGGAATTTGTTTGGACACAGCTCTTCAAATTCTACACTTCACAAGAGAAAAAACTAATTTTCTTAATTTTCTTCTTTTGTGTAGAGTTTGTTTCCAATTTCAAAAACCAGAAATGTGTTTGATATGACCTATTGTGCAACTTTGTCAGTGCTGCACATATCTGATAGCCTTCCTTTATAAACGAGACCTCACAAAAATGTTCTTACCCTAGTCTACTTAGCAATAGATCTTATGGCTGCCAGTAATAACTTCTTTTTCAGAGCAGCAAAGACCCATGCTATGAACAATAATATAGCAAATAAACAACAGTTGTTTATAAGCGCCAAGTGTACAATTGGTCAAAGGTAGCAAAATGTCTCCAATCAGTGTTTCATACTTCACATTTTAGGCTGTATTATATCTTTAATTTTAACTCAGGAAAGTTAAAAACCATTAAATTGTGAAAATAAAGCTTTTTTTCCAGTAAAGAAATCCACAAGAAAAACTACAGCTAACGTTAGCGTGTTCATGGATCAGGAATCCTTCAGTGTACTTACTCATACAATGATTCATTGCAATCATGTCATATGTATTATTGTAGTGTATCCTTCAGCTTAAAAGAAACTAACAATAATGTGTATAATTTTTTCGCTCTAGTAACAAAAGGGATACTCTGTGTCAGCCACTACTCGCGTCTTTGCACCACAATTCGTATGACCAGAGGAAAAAGGTTTTTGGATCATGTCTTGCTCCCGTTTTTTGGTCCCAAAGCCCCTCACATCATACACTAGATATGTCTTCATTGAAAATGAAATCACAGAAAAGGTCACAAAGTTTCAAGGAAATAGTTTTTTTAACTTCCCCAAATCATCAGAATATGTTTGTTTTGTTTTGAACACGGTTAAACTCACCATTCTGCATGTAATGAAGGTTGCTCTTTAGTCTCAGTCCTCTCCTCCTCAGCTTCCTCTTTCACTCCATCTTCCTCCTCGTCTTCCCGGGCCTCCTCCTCCTGCTCCTCTTCTGGTATCTGGTCCCACAGCCGGCTGTTGACCCACAGAGCTTCCTGCAGGCTGAGGCCGTGTCCTATGCAGGTCACCCTGCGACACAGAGGGCAGGGCACGGTGAGCAGCCCGCTCCTGGTCCGCGACATCGTCTCCAGACACGGCTCACAAAACGTGTGCCTGCAGTGGAGAACCCGAGGGATCCTGTCCATCCGGGTGTAAGGAGACAAGCAGACGCTGCAGTCGCCATCCTCACACAGAACCATGGTCGGGCCAAAGTAGTGGACAACAAAATGATACTAAGAACTGCAAGAATCAAAGTCTGGATCCTGTAAGTCCCCCCAAAACAGCTTCTGTAGCTAGCAAAGGCGATGGTTGATGCAGCAGGACAACGTTTGCCTCTCTCTGTTAAATAAATAAAAAATATGTTTTCATGTGAGCTGGATGCAACGTTAAAAAACTTTTCACATCATTCATATTTGAATGTAAAATACATGAACTGTCTGTATTATTTAAATGTAAATTACTTATATTTTTTGTTATTTCTATGGGCCTAATGGGAAACAGTTCAAATACACACACTAGTAGAGTAAAGACTTTGACAACACTCAGTGCTGAAAAATACTGACATGTAAAACCAAAACAGAACCTACTATCCACAACAAAACATGGTATTTAAAAAGAATAAATAAAGTGTGATGGTAATAAATAAATCTGTTGTTAAAGTCTACTTACAGTTAAAGTGGGGTTCAGTTAAAAAACGATATTCCCAGAATTCAGTGTTTTTTAGGAGTGTTGTCCCTTTGCAGTGTTCAGGACGAGCTGCATGCAGTGAATGGAGAGGAAGAGCCCGGCTCGTCTGCCTCCTGTTAGGAGTGTCTGGTGTATTTGTGGGGGCGGGACAGGAGCGTCTCTCTCTCTTCTCACGACCCGGACTCTCACGACGCAACAGCTGGGGAAGCAGCGCTCTTTGTTCGGTGTGGGAGGGAGGGAGGGCAGGTGGAGAAATGGGTGTGGGAGGTTGATGGGGACTTTATTGATCAACGGTGATAACTAAAGTAATGAGTTGCCGAAGCTGCCAAATGCAAAACAAACACGATGTCATGAGGACGCAATACCGATTAAATCAAAGAATGAGCTAAATAATGTGAAAGAAAAACACAGAAAAGGAGGGCTCGTCCGGGATTTGAACCCGGGACCTCTCGCACCCAAAGCGAGAATCATACCCCTAGACCAACGAGCCATACTACTGCAGGAATAAAGTTGTGTTTAAAAAGATGATGAGATGATGGTTTACTAACGAATTTAATATTTGCGCAACACAGAAACCTATTGACACGAATGTAAAGTTTGTCTGAGCGTCTTCACGTTTTTAAAGACTGTAGCGACCTACCTGCCTGATAACCCCGACAGTCAGGCACAGCAAGGAGGAAAAACATCTCTCTAGAAACATCATGATTCAGTCTACCTTTTCGGGCCAGCTGCAAAATGCTGGAAGCGACTGACATACCGCAATACTCACCTGTGTTGTATTTAATGTTTCAAATTCATGGCAACGATGTGTGAACTGCTTTAAGATAGTATAAAGCTAACGTTGAGTGTTCAATCGGTGTCCAAAAATTGGGCTCGTCCGGGATTTGAACCCGGGACCTCTCGCACCCGAAGCGAGAATCATACCCCTAGACCAACGAGCCACGTGTTCACGACAGGCGGTACACAGAGTTTTAATCGATAGCACACACTTTCTTGTCGACTTATTCCAAGTCTTCGTCGTTCAAATCTTTACGTCTGTGGTTTCTGTGGTTATGATTAAACGCCATACAGTCTCTCTAATCGTTAATAAATGGTGCATTGGGTGCCAAACATTCATTTAGTTTGACGGTTATATTTAAAACTATACACTGTAGCGTATAGTCATTTTTAGAACTAGACATTTGATTGATATTATTCGACTTCATTACAAAAACCTTAATTTTACGCCATACCTGGATGGATGTAGGACTTCATCTGACTCAACCTGGGCGTACGTACAGCGTGCTGACGTCACCCTCGGAGGTGGAGTTACCGCCTTACATCAGGAAGCACATTGCTGCCCTGTTGTCTAAAGTTTTGTTGAAGTTTACCTAAAGATGTAATATTACGTTTTTTGAGGCTCTGAAACTAGCTGACGTTGTCTAATAACGCGTGTTTACGATGTTAGACACGTTAATGAATCTGCAGTCGACACTCCGTATTTTCAATTCAAACTAGCATCTTAGTTGGCGCCGCTGCAGCTGAGTTTGGTTGCTGTCTGTGTTGCTAGGTTGGATCTTGAAGTGTTTGTTCACTGTGATAAACACTGACAGGATGACTTCATACCCGGTGGAGACTTCTTTGGGATCTCTGCAGAATCCAGATCTGAGGTAACTCTAACTCTGGCTACACTACTACTGGCAGCAAGAGATTACATCTTGAAGATTTGTCTTTAATATTTCACTGCAATGCTTTGTGTCTCTGAAATTAATCACATTCAAATATCATATAGTCGACTGCGTAAAAAATCCTAATGTAAATCCAGTTGCTGTATGTCATACGACACTAGTAAACTACATATAGAAGTTGCTGCTAGATTATGGCAAAAATCATAACCAAGATTAATTTACATTGTTGTTGAGATCACGATTACTCTTAGATTTGTCAACATCTGCGTCACATGCATTTATCAAACTCCTGTACAATTCACAATTCAGAAAACTGTGTGATAATATTGCCAAAGCATACTTCATATAAATAAATACAATTATATAAAAACAGTGATGGATAATTCTATATAAATACTAAAAGACAATTAGTTATGTGTTTGAGGATGTGGTGATGTACTATTGTTTCCTAAATATAACAACAAACACTTTGAAACATTCACCAACATTTACAACATTAACAAGGCACAATAATGGTTTGACATTGATTTTCTTGTTTTCATGATCGTGGGAAGCCAAATCGTAATTAAGATTTAAGCTTGATTTATTGCCAGGTCTAGTATGAATATACATAGACTTTGTGTATAACAATACAGCTATACAGATTTTGCAGGTCACAATAACTACCGGTAGTCCACATTTTAAGTATCCAATCATTATCATTGTTCCTTATGAATACTTGAAAGTTTATATCATAAATATAAAATGGTGCACTAAGTGGTCCACTGAATTTGATCAGAATGGAGGAATAGAACGGCTCTTATTGCGGCTCAAAATCAATTCTACTAATTGATAAGTGATGATATTTGTGTCTGTATTCCAGCTCTGTCCTGTCGTCATGTGAGCCAGAGCTTCAGGAGCTGATGAGACAGATTGACATTATGGTCAATCATCAGAAGAAGGAGTGGGAGGCTGAGATTCAGGCCATGGAGCTCAGGCTGAAGAGTGGAGAAGAGGAGCTGTCAACCTGCAGGAATCTGATTGAACGAAGGGACCTGGAGGTGCAGAAGCAGATCTTTCCTTGTACTCTATTTGTGATGCAGATTAAACAGTGTGGGTGCTGCTTATAAATGATCGCTACACATCTTAATAGTTGAATCAGGAGTGATCTAATCAAAGGCAATGCCCGGTTTGGTTACAGAAAGAGTGATGATTAAATGCAAAACGTTGAGACTTATAGATACCACATTTTTTTTCAAACCATACATTTTCCACTATCCTTTTTATTTTATATTTAACCAGATAATTAACCCATTGCCATCAAGATCTCTTTTATAGGGGTGACCTGGCCAAGAAGGCAGCAGCACATGTAATAATAAACATTACATGATTAACAAACAGTTTCAGAAATGAAAAGCAGAAGTTGTGAACACAGATAAGAATTAAAAAAAACAGGCACTATCCAAAGGTCTAGACAAAGGCCTCAAGTGAAAAGGAGATCTGCCCATTTCAAGTCCCTCTGGAGAAAGTTCCCTTCAGAGGAGGCAGCCAAACTAAGAGCTCTTTTATTTAGCTCAGTGCAGACACAATGAACACACATTTACAACGATGTTATCAAAAAGGGTTGAGGCTTTTAAAGGCTCTACATCTAATTCTTTGCATCTAATGTTTCGGTACTGAAAAGTTGAAAATGTATTTGTGCAATTTAGACGGTGAGCAGGAGTTAGCTTGCAATTTTTGATGATTGAAAAGTGAAAACAAGACATTACCCAATATAAGGTGCATAGGACTTATATTTTATGTTGCAGAGGTATTGAAACAGGTCTTGATATTGTTTGATTCTAACTAGCACCACATCAAAGTAAAAAAAAAAATCACCATCAGTCTCTGAAAATGCTGTTTGTCTTTATCACAATGTGGTTTTGACAGTTTGACCCCTGATTTCATGCATTGATGTTTAACCTACGTTTTAATAACACCACTAATACCATCAGCCTTGATTGTAGATCGACTTGCTCCGTAAGCAGCTGGATGAAGTCCAGGATGGTCGACAGGAGTTAGTGAATAAATACGAGCAGAACCTGCAAAAAGTCCGGGAAGAGGTGAGAAACACATCACTTCCACGATCGTACTAAATGACTAACTACTCAGTAGATGAATAGTTATCTGACTCTACAATACAATTTAATCCCAGGGGGGCAAATGGTTGTTAGAGGTTTTGCAGAGTAAAGAGTCTCTTTATTTCTTTTTCACCAGTTCAACAACAATTCATTGAAAGAAATCCCCTTGAAAGTTTGGATTGTCTAAGCATCTTGCATTTCTTTTTGTGTTTTTCACAAAAAAGATTCCAAACCTCCTAATATATTTTACATTTGAGAATCAAACGTTTTTGTCGTGCAGTTGGATAAGTTAAAGAGAAGTTATCTCAAGCTTCAAAGGAAACAGCTAAAGGAGACCAGCGGGGGCGCGAAAACTAAAGAGAGTGATCGATCAGAGGTGACCCGGCTCAATGAAAAGATGGAGGTAAGGGAGCATTGTTCCTGTTTATAATATTAGTCTATTACAAATGGCCCTCTACTGCCATCTGATGGTTACATGAAGTATCTTCACTCTTGTGTGCCTTTCAGGAATATCACCAGCGCTCTGTGGAGTGGCAGCAGCTGAACATCCAGCACCAGAAACAACTCAGAGCTCTGGAGGTCCAAAATAAGAGTCTGACTGATGAGCTCAGCACCTTGAAGGTAAAGGAAAATGAAAAGCTTTGCATGTATTTACAAGTCAGTCGGTTTAACATTAAAGCAAAGAGGATGCATTTAATGTTTCGCTCGTGTCTTCTGTCGTTGATTTCCAGTCCCAGAGTTCATCATTGGGAACAGAGAGGGAGCACAGGGAGTGCTGCCTACAGGTGCAGCACCTGCGCACTCAGCTGGAGAGAGCTCAGGACAGCCTGCACTCACAGGAGCTCGAACTGCAACTCCTTCGACCCCTCGAGATGCAGCTGGGAGAATACCAGAGGGAGCAGCAGGTTAGAAGAATGGTAGGAATCAGGAATTCAAATCTAAAGAATAGCAGGAAGAAAACAAACACCGGACATATCACACATTAAGATGGTTTTTCCTAACTTGTAAGGATTGGTTTAGTCAATTCAATTTGTTTAGCTTTAATCGTAAGAAGATATTTAAAAATCATAAACATCCTGGGCTAAAAAAGATATAATTCACATTATTTTCCTCTTAGTTTTTAAAACATGCTTGACATGACAAAATAACTAATAACTTATCCCTACATGTGTTTGGAAACAAATATTTTCATTGAAACATAGAGGACACATCTGTTGTTATTGGATATCATGTTTAATGACAGACAGGCAAACTATCTTAAATGATGTCATCAGAAATCATGAAGACCCCCTGCATAATTACAGGAGAGATAAGTAGTATAATAATTCATAATAAGACTATGTCAACAAGCCAGACATCTTTTGAAGTAGCCCATGGAGATATCCAAGTGAATTTGGATTCATGATTTTATGATGAAAATGTTACCAAAATCAGTTTAACCTGAGTGTTTTTAAGGCAATCAGGCAAAAAAAAAATGTAATCGCATTTCTCCAGCCTGCCTAAAGACGGCCCACTCTTGTTGCCCTGCTAAGCGTTGTATGTATTATTGATGTGAAAACCAAAGTTTAACAATGAAAGTCAACAAAGAAACATGAAAAGAAATTAGCCATTAGCTGTTGGCTGGCAGACATAATGGTTATGAATACTGGTTGGAGGGTCCCCCAATTGATTTTAGCCTAGGGCCCCAACAGACTCTTGAATCGCCACTGGCTTTACTCTTGGGTGGCTGTTACTCCGTCCATCTTAATACACAGTCTATGGTAACGACTGGTGTTCTGGCTGTAGATCACTCTGCACATCCCTCCAACTCTTGAGGTCATAAACTCAGAACTGTTACAGGTGCTTTGTTTGACTCATGCATGTATGCACCAACATCAACTACAACACCTTTCAAATGATATTTACAACATTGACCTTGTTTAACTATACATTTCTGATAAGTATCATTGTGTATGCTGAGTATTCTGTGCTTTTGCAAAGGTGCATTCAGAGGAAAGGGAGGAACTCCACGCCACGCTGGACTCTCAGGACACATGTATGAGAGGCGTCGGTCTGGAGCGCCTGAGAGCTCGTGATGAAAACGCCAGTTTGAATCAACTTCTGCAGGCTAAAGATCATGTCATCCGGTTGGTGGATTCATATTTAAATCATTTGTTTTTAAGCCATCATGTTTGATGTAGTACAGTAACGGTACACAAGGGGGCACTCTACACTCATAATGTAGGACGCTTTGTTGACTAGCTGCAAAATAATGAGCATGTTTTTATTGAAGTCATTTTAAGTGTTTTTTCTCAGCTCTCTGGAGGACTGTCTGGCCGCTCAGGGCTGTTCTGGAGTGGAAACCCTCCGACAGGATCTGGAGAAGACTCTGAGCAAACTTCACTGCACCCAAACATGTGAGGTTCACCTGAAGGCTGAGGTGGCGTGTCTCAGAGAGAGGTGAACACTGAATCATTAAACACCTATATTACAGTTATTTTTGGACATATAGGCTTGACATCTATAACTCTGCATGTGTTTAGTTTATAATATCAAATGGGATGTTTTTGTGGTTTTTCAGGGTAGAGAGGCTGAGCCTTCAGAGAGCTGACCAATCGAAGATGGAGGAACTGAGAAACACAAAAGTAGAATATGATTCAACTGTTGCTGAAATTAAAAGGGTCAGAAAGCTTCTCTTGTAGTTGGAGCTCTGATATTTTTGCTCACATTTTGTATTTGTACAAAGAGTTCCCAATAACAACCTGTATTATGTCTCCTCTGGATTCACTCTGCAGCTCAGAGAAGAGCTTCAAAGAGCCAAGCAAACTCACAGTGGGGAGGTGGAGGGGATGAGGAAGGAGGTGTCCAGGCTGACCTCCGAGCTGCACCAACATGAGATCACCATCAGCACACTGAACAGCTCTTCATCCAGCATCAAGCAGCAGCTTCATGAAGAGGCGGAGCAGAAGGCAGCTGAGCTCAAAGTAAGCAGGTGTAGTCCTGGGAAATGATTCCTGTGACGAAAATCTATGAAGATGTTAGCTGGCTAATTTTGTTAAAGACGACATGCTCACATACTTCATGGGCCGTTTTTTCTTGATGTACATATCATCCATGCTGTTAGCACAAATGATATCTAATAATTCAGAAACACAGATGACTACAAGACAAGCTTCTGCTTACAACTTGTTTCTTGGGTAATTTAAGGTCCAGACTAGGACCTGAAAGATATGAGGTTTTAATGGCAGATACAGATATCGATATTAAGAAGAGAAAAAATCGATACCAATATTTAAGCTGTTATTTTTCTTCGATCTGTACAGATAGATAGATACAGATATAAACATTTTTTGTGTTGATTGCTCAAATGCAGTTATCAAACACTTGTGGAAAAGACATATAATGAAGGCAAGATGGTCACTCAACTGGAAAGTAACTGTGCATGTATGTGCATCAACTCTGGAGAGTGATGATACTTGTTGTAATCCATACAGCACACTCCACTGTCCACTTGTAACTAAATTTAATAATATCGGCATATATCTGCAATAATATTAGCCGGCACCGATATTATAGGCCGGGAGATTAATCGGTCGGGCTCTAATCCAGACTTTTAAAGACTAAATTCTTTCATCTAGTTAAAAAAATGAACTGAGAAAATATGCATAGATCTAAAAAGGGATGGTTGTGTAAATGGAAATAGTTAAAAAGTAGTCAGCTTGAAGGCCTTCTAGCTTGTACTTAGTGGAACTCTGACTTTAGATGGATTACTACGAAACAGTGTTCGGATACTTGAATCCTTATGACTTTGAATGATTCCTTAACCTTCCTTTAGCGCCACCAACATGTCAGAGTTTGGTCTAATCCTGTTAAATATCTCACCTTCATCCTCTGTGAATGGACTGGAATAAGTCACTCTCAGGTCTCTACTCAGTTACTTTGGTTTTTGTTAAGAAACCTGTGAATCTGTCACTCCCATCATTCTCAGCTGTCATGTGTTTGTAGTGCTAATAGCCAATCTAAGTATGCTAACACACTCGGATAGGAACATTGTCCCTGCAGTACCTGCAGCTTGTGCCGTCCGAGGGTTTCTTAGTGATGAAGTGATTACTCCCACATTTCAGATCTTTCCAAACAAAAGTCAAGTACAGCTAAAGGCCAACCAAAGCTCTGCTCGTTTTAAGGTTGTTGTATTCTAAAGGTCTAATTTATAGTGTTTTTATAGAATGTATGTCCCTTTATACAATGCATTATGGGATATGTATTTTATTACATCAGTATTATGAAGTTTATGTTACTGAAAGTTTACTTAAAGAGTTTAATAAGAACAATAGCTATTAAATTTCATCAGTTTGATGCTCTGTACTGAAACTAAGTACTAACCACTACTGATGTGGTTGAGTAGAATAAGTCACACTTTTCTCTTTCACAGATGACTCAAGCCCAGTTGGAGACTTTACAATCTGAGAACCAGCATCTGAAGGGGCAGCTTCAGAGACTGGAGTCTCGATCAGCAAAGGTTTTGTCTGCTTTTACATTCTTTTTTTTAAGTTATTAAAATTCAACAGACCACTTTTCTAAACTTTTTTCTTCATATTTTGACTTCAGTGCCTTTCCTAACTCTGACTCATGCCTCTCACTCTGCTCTCCTCAGAGGGGGGATCCTTCGATTGCGTCCCTGAGGGAGAGCTATGTGTCCTCTCTGAGCAGCCTGGAACAAGAGAATCAGCAGCTGAGGCAGAAGCTTGCTGAGAAGCACGCCCGTCATGAGCTCTCCAAACGGAAGGAACAAGGCCACGCCATGACTGACCAACCACAGCCTGCTCAGGACAGGTACTCACCCAGCATACACACAGACATGCATCTTTTACATAACCAAGGAGTGATGTAACCTCTTGTTTGTAGCAATGCAGATGCCAGACATCACAAACACAGGAAGGAGAACATGACTCGATCCGAAGTGGAGATCCAGATGCTCTTCAAACAGTTGAACACTGTGTCCCCTTCCAACAGAGAGCATGTCTGCAGCCAGGATCAAGATAGCAGGCCTCATTCCTCAGCATCCTCCTCTTCCTCCACCTCCAGCAACATCAGACTCTGCAGGAGAAACTCAGCGTCCGCTTCAAATGAGTCCGCTGCTGAGGGGCAAAGCTGCAGCTCTGAGGACTCTCTTACTTCAGAGTCAAAAGGAAAAGTCTCCCCCTCTTGCATGGTGAGTCTTACCGCAAGAGATCCACAATCCAGTTACAGGCACCCATGATTGGAAACTTTCTTGTTTGGGAACTTTCTTGTTTCCAAAAATCAAAAAATTGCAAGCAAACTCCTACAAACTGTCTAAATTGCACTAATACGATGGAAACGTTAAGGCAATTTACAAAGGATTCATTCCTCTCCTAAGCACTTATCAAAAAGAAGATGCAGTGTTTTTTTTCATGCCTTTAATGATACTATCATCCATTATTATGACGGAGAATGTATGGATTTAAAACATGTGGAGGCAAAAAAGTATTGAATTATTGAATATTTTGATAACTTTGATTCCTACAGTTTCCTTATCCTTCCTCTTAGGAGTCTATGCCAGCGTCCCCTGCAGAAGCCATGGTGTCTCGTTTCGTGGAGGAAGAGGACTTGCGATGCAATGAGCTGATCCTGAAATTGAACACCCACATCCAGGGTATGACGGAGAGAAACATTAGGACAGTTTCCAAGTACCTGCCAGGTGACTCAGAGCCTGAGGCTGCACAGACTTCAGTACAGACGGGTTAGTGGTCCAGTATGGGGGAATAAATATGAAAAAAAGTGCTTTCAACAGCATCGCCAAAAGGCTGCAGTCTTGTACTTAATGGTGCATTCACTTCTCAGAAATTAAGAGGACTTTTTAAAGAGATATTTTTACACAGTCGACATTTATGAACACCATGGGAGCACAGAGCACTGCGGTTACGCAAGTGTTTTATGAGTACTGTTTTAAAAAAACACAACGGCTATAATTCAAAATGTCAGTGAGTTTGAAGGCGAGGAGTGAGAGACGACAGAATTATGAAACCCACTCTGTCCTCACGGCGAAGGCAAGGAGGTACAAGGTCCAACATATTGTTTTGATCCTGTGTCTTACTCTGTTTATCATGGGCTTATTTATCCGTATGGGTCACGACATGTTTTCACAGGAGATACATTTCTGTTGCATCACTAAACTAATCTGAGAGATTAGGTGCTGACAGGCTGAGTGATTCAACACTTTGCATCACCTCATGACATCACGGAGAGACAGCAACGTATCATTGGTCAGTATTTGTAAAATCATAGCAGGTACAACGAGCTTAGAACACATTGAGAAATGATTTATCCTCTGGAAGTGATGGTCAATATTTGAGAACGTCCATCACAGTCGGTTGGTTTTTGGATAGATCCACTCTCTGCCAAGATTTACTCTTCTGTTTGCTTGTAAAATCGACAGGTCAGTAATTAAGAAATATTATAAATAAACTTTACAAAAGTCTTTTACTGGGGCACCGATGGCCTTGTGGTTAGGTAACGTCCCATGCACGGAGGCTATAGTCCTTCAAGTGGGCAGCCCGGGTTCAAGTCTGAACTTTGGCTTATATCCTTCATGCCATTCACAAATCTCTCTCCCATTTTCACTCTTTACTATCCTATTAAATAAAGCCCAAAAATAAATCTAAAAAAAGGCTCTCAGAAATTGACAAGGTTTCTAACAACATCTTCATATGTATTGTTTTGTAAATCCAGTCATCTATAACCCAAAGATGTTTACAATAAAAGACAAAAAAGCTGGAAATCCTCACAGTTGAAAGCTGGAATCATAAAAAGAGAAGCTTGAATAAATTCAATTCTAGTTATACTTCCTTTTCTGTTGTTGCGGTAGATTTGGCATTTTTTTTCCAACTTGGAGCAGCTGAAAAATATGTTCCTTCAGTGTCTAGCATCCTTATTTGACATAGCTGTCGTCCTTGAAGAAGTACAGGTTTTTCAACTCTGATTCCTCGCCTCAGTCCTTTGTATCATTTCAAACTAGCAACAAAATGACGCTTTGAACTTCTGAAACATAATCCAGAAGATTTTATGTCAGAGAGCACATTTTATAGTGTTGTGGATGACTTTTGTAGTTAGTTGAATTGATTTGGATTAAAACATACCATAAAAGAAACTCAGCAGAGCATGCAGTGCATCCTGGTACATGTAGGCGATTCCTGCATGGCTCTGCAAACAAGAACTGAGCTTTCTCCGTGAGCATAGCACACACTGAGGTATGTTATTGGTTAATGTGACTTCATTGACATAAATCATTAAAGTCTAGTTGAATTAAAGTTTCTGCCCGTTTCAAGAATTAATGCACGAGTTAGTTCCCATAGGCTGCCTCGTCCAACAATGTGTGTGTATTCTGCCTCTTGCACTCTGTCATGTTTGTGTGACTTCACACAAATTACTTTTTGGTCGCTGAATTCCACCCGAGTTACTTTCTGGAATTCGGACGTCAAGAAGACATCTTGTGCATATTTTCTTCCTGTAAATTCCTTTTTTTTTTCATTGCCTGGAACGCATCAATGCATCGGCATTTGGCATCAAGAGAAAACTATGTAGCTGAGAGCCAGAAAGGTGTCCGTCCTCCCTGCAGGTCTGTCATAACTGAGAAAATACCACATATGTACATGTCAGTGCAGACAGCAGGGAGGGAAAAGAGGCAGCTTATACTGCAGCTCTCCTCATTTCCCCTGTGACTGCTCTCCCCTCAGCACCACCAACACCACCCACCCTGCAGAGGCCCTCCGGCGAGTCAAGTGCAGGAATGTGAGCACCATGCCAATGCTGTCATGAACCTTCCCCTGCGGCCTGCCTTGTCCTCATCATTAGAAAGCTGATGGAATGTTAATAACAACCATCTGGGGAAACAATGAAAGGCCAGGGGGGAATAGTTATATTTTACTGGTCTCATAATGAAGCACACACTGAACCAATGGAAATAAAGTGGAGGAAAATCTGATAAAAAATCTGTTTCGCTGTCATACTTTTACAACAACAACACAGAGGGTCTGCTCAGCTGTCTCTGGTATTTGGTAGCCTGTGTTACTAGCACTGTAAACACCAACAAACAGCACTGAGGAATTTGGCAAACGAGGCATTCCTCTGGCTCTCTGTGGAGGGAGGTGAGATGTTTATTTTTTTATTTTTTATGTGTGCAGATTCTTCTGAAGGGGCCTCATAAAAGGGTGGAGGACTGAGGTGGATCCAGGTCCAGGGAGAGTTCATGCTGCTCTATCTACGTAATGCATCACAGGAAAGGCTTGGTTACAAGATAATGAAGTAAATTCATAATCTGTTAGTGAAAACTTCCCGCATTAGGACAAATGTTGTGAATGCACTTAGTAATGCAATGCAAAGACATAGCTTATTCTATAGAAGGGATCTCAGGGTTTCTTATAGTTTGTTATCATCCATTTTTTTGCTTCCAATAATTGTTTCCAAAAGTGCATTCCAGTTCTGTACAACAACTTCCAAAGCATTGAATCCTATTTGACTCATGAGACATTTCATTGACGCTTTTGGGAAATAGAATTATTTTTGTCGTCTTGAGTTGAATTTGGTAATCCTGGCTGAGAACAACCCTGCAATAAAGGTCAGACAGCAGATAATAAAGCATTTCATTGGAAAAGTTCAGGATGGTATGAGTCCAGCAGAGGATTCCAGCAGCATGAACTGCAGATGCCATCGCCATCCAAGGATGAAATATGTTCACTTTTGCACAGAAGAAAAACAAACTCTGGCGTTCTGTTGTTTTGGGTGCAGTCCAGAAGGTGTTCCCTTCACACCATTGACTTGAATACAGGTGAACTAGAGGGCAAAAAATCCTACCTCTGCAAAATCACTTGTGAATGCAACATCTTCCTTTGAATTTGTACTTTTTTGAGTCTCTGTTAGATATTTTCTTTTAAAGGTGCACTTTGGAGTTTTGGTGATGTGGAAATGATTTTGGAAATGTGAAAGTTGGAGAAGTGTACAGATTCTGTGGTATTTGTTCATAACTCTATGCACAAACTGTCCTCAGAGGAAAATATGGTCCCTGGAACACTGTCTGAAGATAAAATGCTACGTGAGAAGTTATGGTGTCCGCAACAGTGAAACCATAACTCTCCTGGTAGCTTTATAGCTCCAAAAATTGTTCCAGGGACCCATTTTTTCCTTTGAATAAGTTTTCTGTATTTAGTTCAGGAAATATAGCACAGAACTGTTTCACTTTCAAATTTCACTAACAAATCTACATAGCGCAGTTTGGCCTAAAATCACCTGACAATCTATCTTTTCCTATTGGACCCTAAAGATGTCACAAATCCTGCTTGTATGAACACATCAGTTCAAATGCAAAGGTAGAAAAGGTAAACTTTCCCTTTAAACACGTGTAATTACCACATTAGGGCTTTGATTGCTACCAGTATATGAGACAATAATGGCCTTAAGAACTTCCTGTAAACTGTGAAATGTCCATCCAATAACTTAACTTGGTCAGCATTACCAGCGATGCTTCTCTTACTCATAAACAAACAGCAGGAGGAGAAAGGTTATGCTCCTCTAAACTGGTTAGCTTTAATGAATCAGCACAGTCAGATCCTCCTTAATCAAGCAGTTATTTAGAGGCTTGTGTGTTTGCTTGCTGCTTGAAAGATCTGTCTCTTCCCTGCAGTCTGCAGCCACACTGAATGCTTTATGTCACAAAAACCAAACATCTCAGAGGTTACAGGAAGGCAAGTTAACAAGTGACATTTAGCAAACTTGATAAACTCTGAAAAAGAAAATTGGTCCAAATTATCAACTAATCTCGTAGCAGATATCTGAGGTATTTGAGGAATGTCCTTATCTGTGAGTTCATATATAACTTGTCATGAGAATAAAGACAGAGGATAGATTGTGTTTGTAGAGCTCTGATTTATCTCTGCAGAAGTCTGAAAGGCAGGGCTGGTTGGCGGGGATTTCTTAGGCTGGGTCCTGCCGGGAGATTCCTGAGCATGGGAAGGGAAAAAATATCTCTGATTCTCTGAGTGATAATCAGTTCAAAACATTTACCAAACGCTGCCCACGGTTTGTTTTGTGCCCGAAAAAATGTCTCTAGTGTGATTCATGTTGCTCCTATAATATATGGACTACCACCCTCATAGGGGGAAGTGATTAATATCTTTCTATGAATTTCTGAACTTCCTCAGTAAGATAAGACGACTTTTCCCAGAATTGTTGCAGCCTGCATGCCTTCTTTGTTGCACATTCCATGGTGGAGCCTCAGAAAACATGCCGGTCGTGCTTCACATGTGTCCTTGTCCCACTTTAACCTCCAGCCATGTCCCATATTTGACGGGAACGCGACATTGTTGTCCACTCTTCTTGGTCGTGTCTGAGTGGGTGGGGTTGAGGGAATGGGTGCATGTTGCAGATAGACTCGTCCCGTGCAGGGGGACTCCGGATGATCTCTGCAGGATACTTGGGATGCTGCAGAGACAGAAGGGCGCGTTCTTATCAGCCCGCCTGGCGCTCTGTGCCAAAAGGGAACTATGCCAGAGAGGCCAGGAGGAAAACATTCATTCCTCTTAACACACAATGTGTGCGTCCATGCATGAACGCCAATGTCCCACTTCCACTATGTGTTTGTTTGGATACTGTAAACAGAACCAGAAGAAGAATTGATTACTGTAACACTTAATGTACTCTTGTGGACCTGAGATGAAAAAAAAAATCTCAACACACTTTTTGAGTCTATATCTTTGAACTAAATCGTTCGGTCTTTCCGCCTAGTGATGGTGATTAAAAATATTGTTTAACCTCAATATTGAGTTGTAGATCGTAACCCCTCTCTGGTACACCGGAGGGAGAAAAAGAAAACTTCTCATTGTTAATTTGAAGGATTGAAATGACTTAAAGGTAATATGTAAGATATCCATCTGTAACAGCACAGCTGTAGGAAGCAGCTGAGTTTGGTTGCTCAAGAGGATAGGCTGTCTTTTGGGATATAATGAAGAATAAAGGTGATGCAGCAGGTTATGAGGAAGTATAGATGTAGGGCCAAACTAGCAGGAGCTGCTAAGGACACATCTAGTCCCCTGTTTACAGAGGATGTGACTGTGGCTGCTTGTAGATGGCTGTCGATGTGGGCCTTGGATGTTGATGTCTGGAATGGATGATTCTGGGAGCTGTGGGTGGGCTCAGTGGGTAGAGTCGGTTGTGTGTCAATTGGAAGGTTGGGGGTTCGGTCCTCAGCAACATGTCCGATGTGTCCTTGGGCAAGACAAGTTGCTCCTTCTGCTTTGTTGGTGGCGTATAAATGTCGTAATGCATCACAGGATTTTTATGACATCATTCAAACTGATAAATTCAGGTCAAATCAGGAAAAGACCTCCGGTTAAAGTGTCTCTTGAGAAGCGATTTAAAAGAGATCACTGACTGAGACCTGATCTCTGGAGCTCAGGAGCCCTCACAGAAAATGCCCTTTCTCCTTCA